TATACTTATGGTACGAGATTTCACCTGCATGGAATTCTGTCAGATTCTTTAGATATGGTTGCAGAACTACATGGTGGCAAAAATAAAACCTATAAAGTTGTGTTTAGATGGTAAAAAGATCAACACTGAAGATGAAGATGTTGACCTCTTTTAATGTGAACCATCACCAACAGTTGCAGAAATAAGTGAGTGAGTTTAGTTTTACGACGCTTTTAGCAATATTCCAGCAATATCACGGCGGGGGACACCAGAAATGGGTTTTACACATTGTACCCATGTGGGGAATCGAACCCGGGTCTTCAGCGTGACGAGCGCACGCTTTAACCACTAGGCTACCCCACCGCCCCTGCAGAAATAAGGCAGAGAAATAAGAAAAAACAGGAGCTTTTACAGAACCCAGAACCCAGTCGGCTTTGGTACATGTGTCACAGAGTTACAAGAAGTAATTCGCCTGCTAAGTATGAGAATTAAAGATATGGGTGAAACATTAGTCACAAAGAAACTGTATTTGGAGAAGTTCAAGATGCTTGACAAACCGGATTTGAAAAAGCAGTATCCAGACCCATATATGTCAAATCAATGAATGCATTACCAATTCCTTGTACACGATTTCACAAATTGCAGGAATGTGTGCAAAAATGTGTTATGGATCAAAAGTTGACCTAAATAAACAGGAACAGCTAATCGGTCCTATGCCCAGATTCGTCGAACGGTCATTTCTGCAACGATCAGTATACAAGGGAAGTAACTCTGAAATCCACTTGACGTTTTACTATCCCTTCAATCCTTTGCTGCCACTGGCAGTTACTATACAAATACATTAACAACAACAGTCTCCGCTGCCACAGCAAAGTTCAATAACCATGTTTGATAGAAATAGACTTTCAATTGCCTATAAAGGGCACCTTTGCGGCAGAATGTTTACAGTGGAGTTTGTGAAGATATTTCACTTTACAATTTGGAATGCCTGTGGTGAATTCAATATCAACTGCTACATGTATCGCAAGATTGCACCGAATGCCAAATTCAGACTTTCCATTCGTTTTCAGGTGTACACGATTATATGAAGGGACGTAATACATAAAGTATACAATACCGTGCAGGGCGGATACAGCTTTTTGAGAAGAAGGTGCACACTATTGAGAAAAGGGAGGGTGCACCCTTCATTTTCACCCGAGTTTCAATGGTCATTTAATAAATTTTCAGGACAAAGGGGCCGCGCACCTTGCACCACCCCCACCACCCCACCCACCCCTGGATCCGCCTATGCCGTGGTTCCCAACACTATATACACGTAGACATTCTAATAGCGCAACATTTCTTTATTTCTGTCATTTCTCATCGCCCGACCTACTGTAAGTTGGCCGCCGACCCGATAATAAGGACAAGTGTAAATTGACAAGAAGCTAAGCACTATAGCTATTAACATTCTTCTTTCTAACATTTCATTTATGATTCCACTGTCAGGTAATAAAGATTAATAACGCTTTAGTGACTGAGATGTCTAACTTTGTGAAAGTAACAGCTGATTCAATATATTTAGATGTTCTCTGCCTCTTTACTTTGTTGTTCTCTGCTGCTATTGCATGCCGTGCACTCTTTATTATAGATTCAAAATCTGCAATTTTGACAACAAATTATCTTGCTGTTATATATTTCTCATTTCCCGAATAGCAAAGAAAACAGAATTTATTATTTTTTTGAGACAGATATTTTGTTCTTTTCCATAGTCATTCATAAACAGGCAAAATAAAGCAGACTCAAAGTTACGGGTACATAGGTTTGAACAAATCGTGATTTTAATTTTAATTTTTGTTATTAAACCGAACGAACGATCATGGTGGTTACGAGAACAAGAAAATGCTGCCCATAATATTATATTGCAACAGGGATCTTTACCTTTCTTAACTGACGTCACACTGCCGATGTTAGGACATGGGACTACGTAGGATCACGTGACGATGATTATGACGTCACAACAATTAAGCCAGCTGAAGGTTTACCTACTGTCAGACATACAAGTACACCGGAGCGGGAAATTTGAACCTGATAACCTGGAGAAGGTGAGCTATGGGTACTGTGTTGTCGTGAGCCGGTTGGTTTAACTGTTTACCAGTACCATCATATTTTCTTGCGATGTTTCTTGATCAAATCAGAATTTATTGACTCATTCAGATTTTACAGTGATTGTATCTGTGTAATTCTTATTACTAATTATTACAGATGAGGAGCTTGACAAACAAGGAGACGTCAATATAGTTCCCTGGGTGTAATATTTTCTGTGTTGGGAACTAATACCATTCTACATCTCCGCTGTTTTTTCACAGAACCTTTGACCAAGATGATATTTATGACCTTTCTCGCCATGGCGGTACATGAAATCAAGAAAATCAAGAAATCGTTTGGTAAGAAAAGCTGTTTTAGTGATTCTATTCAGGGATGTTTCGGGAAGTGAATAAGTGAGTCGGTGAAATGGGGTGAATAGTATGCTAATTGTATCAGAGCGATTCGATTTGATGTGGGGCACATTCTAAAGTGATGAACGTCTTAGACTCTTTAATGATGCTGACAAACGATAGAGGTGAATTGGATTCGAACCCACGAACATTGATGGGTTTCTGGCGTGCCCAACGAGTGGGCCGCCATTTCTGAGTGAGTGAAGGTCAAACAAAATCTGAGAATAATATAACTTACACAGAAGAAGGTTGAATTTTACCATGTTTTTGAGGTAAATGTTTATTTTGGTAGGTCTGATGTTAATAAAGTGTGTTTGTTCAGATCCCCCTAACGGCCCCGAGGATGATCCTTTCGTCAGATGGGTGGATGTGGACCCAGGACAGGCTCCCCCAAATATGCCCTACCTCCTGGACGACCTGATTCCCCGCCTCCACACCCCACAACTTCCACAACGACGGCGAGAATCACGGTCCGTCTGTCGCCTATTGCCCTCCCATCTGGATGTACAGGACCGAGTATTACGCAAGCGAGGCAGACAAATATGAGAAAAACTTCGGGAAAAAGTTTCCAGTCGGCAAGCCCTATGTTCTGACATAAACAATGGCTCCAGACAAACCAGCTCTGCTGCATGAGCGAAAGAGTGAAGACATTTGTATGATGCGATTTTGTCGGATTTTGATCTCAGTATACATTTGAATTTTTACACTGCATTTATATATATATAAATATATATATGTGGCGTAATTTTCAGATGCAGTATGTGTGTGCGTGTGTCTGTGAGTGTATGTCTGAGTGTGAGTGAGCGCGTGCAAGTGCGTGCGCGCGTGCGTGTGTGTGTGTGACATACAGCGCTCTAGTTTCATCTTTCACAAACATGTGACAAAAGATATTCTGTGATATGGAAAATCATATTTCCTCCCACTTAAATATGTGCAAGTTACGTATATCTTGTTGTCAGTTGTTATCATTTATGCCTCTAAGGTAATTATATCTTTTTATTTTTTAATAAACATTTGTTACAAATTACTGGCTTTTTGTATTTCTATAACAACTAGAGGAAGACGACTTCTATGACTGAGATAAATTACCTGTACGAGGGTCGATCAAAAAGTACGTAGCCTATCTATATTCTCGATGTCCAATGTTTGAAAAGCTTCCATTTTATTATGAAGGAATCATTAGCAAAGCCATATCCAAAATTTCACATGTGTGGGTAATGTGGTTAACCAGATATTTGTCATTACAACAGATTGAGGTATAATATTTCTAGCAAAATTGCAGATAATGGAAAACGATTTGTCTTTTGGTACCTCTTGGATAATGGTATGCCCTCAGATAATTTTCATATAAAATATGTTCTGTATAGTATTGGATGACTTACCGTCATTATCAACAGTCAAAGATTTGGATTGCCTGATTTATATTTAGTCGGGGGCTCTTTTAAGGACACCCCCATTTTAATCTTTCAAAAACATTGTGTCCAGATATTCAAGCTGGCACTGTTTACAATATATTGTGAGCTGTCACTTGTGTGACCATTCAGTATTTAGTTTGAACCCTTGGCATCATGTATGCATAAGTGAAACATTAGAATAAGCTATATGCCCTTATGATTACGTCATCTGAAAGGGGTGTGTGTAGTGTCTCCAAAACAAGCTCTTTCAATCAACATGAAGGGGTGGGGAGTCACTTTAACAAGCGATTGTAATTTCAAATTGCTTTTTTATAAACTTTAATATCTAAGTGTGATTCTAGGGGACTTCTATCAATTTCAAACACACAAAATATTTCTTGCATATTTTATTTCCTGACGTTTTTGATGCATTTATTGTAGATTTTGCGTTTTTGGGGTACCAAGATGAAAGGTCAAACAAAATGGGGATCGTGAGACTGGAACATAGCAAAACCAAATTGCTTGAGCTTGTCAGATAATATGTAGAAAAATAAAACATAAAAATAACTGCATTTGTATCGTTTTCTTGGTGATTCTACATACTTTTTGATCGCCCCTCGTACATGTATACAATGCATCTTAATGCACAGGGATGCATTAATTAACAGCGACATGATCTGCTAATTGTGTAACATTTGTTACATTTCCTACATATAACATTCGTTACACGTCCCCTAACATTTGTAACATTTTATTAATGGTATTTCGTATTCAAGGACAGTTATGTAAATAATTTTTTTATGTAAACGTATATCCTGATTTGGAAAGTAACCAAAACGAACTAAAACGTAAACAACCGTTCATCGGTTTCAGTAGTTGAACAGAAGGTCAAATGCATAATATCATTACCAGTAATACATCAGGCGGAAAGGTTTTATGTAATGAGACTAAAGTTATGAAACATATTGGTCCAAGGGAGGAAACTCTAACTGTTTACGACATACAACATTGCAATAACTTTCAATAGGTATTCTTGCTTTTACTCTGGATATCTTCACAATCGTTTTTAAAAGTGTTCTTGTATGTATGTATTATAATACTTCTGATGGGAATATCTTTTCGTGCCGGGTATATATCAACAAGCCGTCATCTCATCTAACAATAACAATGGCGGCCTACACAAGCTCCAGACGTGTGTTGGCAGCAGGTAAACAAAACTTTGGGGTTATCAGTGATGCATGTGATGCATATGGCATGAATATGTTAAATACTGACAGACAAAATATTTCGTTGTGTAAAACACGCCATTTGTAATTAACTTTATCATGAAAATGACGAGCTTGCTCTAAGAATTCTTCCTGTTACGAACAGTGTTTTGCTGTGTGAATACCGGTCAAAGTCCAATGACAATGACAAGTAGACGTGACAGAATACAGCGTCTTGTGTCGAAGTCCTTGATTTTATTAGGGAAATATTTTCTCGCCTTTTTCTATCTACCTCGATTTAATTCCTTATAGCATGAAAGTCCACATGCTCATTTATAACTGAAAGTTGCATACATAACATTTATGAAACACAAAGTAAAGACACAAAAACCTATTATTACACAATGCCATTTAGAAAGTGGTCAAATGTAACATATGTTATTTTTGGGATTACACTTTCTCAGTAAAGTACAAATTCTAGTACTATTTGAGTTGAGCCCCATCCGGGATTCGAACTCACACCCTCAGAGTCAGGCACCTAATTGCCAGCACACAAAGCCGTGCCAATTAGCACTTACCCAGATAGCATTTGGACGTTGACCCAACGTTGGCAATATTGGCAAAACCATTGCCAACATTGGTTCAACGTCTGAATGCTATCTGGGTATCAGAGGGGTACACAAAGTCTGCAGTCTAGACTACCAGGTGTCTGACTGCCATTTGTTGTGGAAGTCGCGGTAGCTGAGCGGGTTAGGCGGCTGTTTTTGTGTGCTGGCGATTAGGTGCCTGACTCTGAGGGTGTGAGTTCGAATCCCGGATGGGTCTCAACTCAAAAAGTACTAGAATTTGTACTTTACTAAGAGAGTGTAATCCCAAATTTAACATATGTTACACAAAAACCTATTATGTACTAATAATGTAGCTGATTTTGTATTAGCGGGTACGTGCAGGACGGAAATGAAGATGCAAGACGGAAATGAACTACACTTGGTACTGGCCTCATACTCATAGATATTAAGGTGACAGTAATTAGGCACAGATACCTGTTTCACAAAGCGATTATAGCCCTATGGAAGTCATTAGTCCACTAAAAGTATCAGAGTGACAATCGCTTAGCACCATTATCACATTGTGGAAGTGGCCAGTGCTCAGTGTAGTACCAATGGTCCCTAGGTTTGGCACCACCTGCTAGTCAAAGAACCCTCTCTGCAATCCTAAGAGTTATGTCTGTGCTGTAGGTTTGATGAATATGATTGTGGTTCAAGATATAGGCGTCATAACTTGAACTTTTGATAGTGATAGCAGAGTGGACCAGAAAAAACCCCACCACATCTCGCGTGCAGCCTCTCATCACCTGTATGAAACATACCAGTGTGTGTGTTTTCAAAATTAACACAACGTTTGCTTTCATCTGTATGTTCTGAAAGTATGCTTCAAACTGCTTTTGTATACATCAATGTTTCAACCAGCATGTTTTACTTTTACATCGTCAATATCTCATAAGTGGGTGTTATTTTTGTTGCCTGTGGCAGCATTAAAACCACCACAGAAGAGAACATGGGGAAGAAGTGAAATTAGACCAATGTTCTTCTACTGAATCAGTTCTCTTATTGTGAAATGTGGAGCCTGCTGTACTTGTTTTACAAAACAACATGAAAGCACAGTTTAAATATAACACTGATTTTGAAATTGTTAAACTTCAGTGCATTTGGTTACCAGGTAGCCATTTTAAGCCAAGCCTAAGAAGTCTCAGTTAAAGGTCACATGCAACGTAAAACACAACTTTGCAGATTCTGATACCTTTCGGTATGGACTTACCGAAACAAAGCGTCAAAAATGCAAATTCAACTTATAAAGTTGAAAAATAACGCGTTGAAAAAAAACACGCGAAATCGGAGTTCAAACGTTTCACTAATTTTCCCAGACTTTTCTGGGGAATCACGGGTTTCAACAGCTGGGCTGCTCATAGCATGTGCGCCCAGTGAAATAGGTTGGCTTAACTTGGAGGCGGGCTGTCTGGTGAATACGGTGAAGGCTTTGGTGTGAGCTATTTTTCATAATGTTTTGTTGATTATCTATTTCATTTGTCTATTTCACCACACGTTCTTCTTACGAGGCACTTTCTCAGTTCGATACTTAAAAGCAATGTCATTATTTAGCGTTGACAGATTTCTATCTGTGATATAGATATGTCGCTGTCACAGACAAAACTCAATGTCTTCTTTATTGACACCTGTGTGTCTGCCTGCCTGTCTGCTAATGACAATATTCAATACACAACTCGCGATCACTGACCACATGCAATTTGAACTTAACACCAATCGGGCTATTGCATTGATTTATGGCCCGAGTTAGGTCTCTGTCACATTATGTAATTACACAGACAGGCAGGTGTGATATTTGAACCCATGACATGTTATGATGTCTGTTGATTGCAAAATGTTATACACAAAAATGAGCATGTATTTATAAACCCAACTTTTCTATATATACACACCGTGAAGGTGGCATCTGCTAATGAACCAGCCGTTAAGCACCAGCTCTGACTGGGTTCGGTATCCGGCTGCCGTTTCGAGAGGAGGTAAACCCAAGTACAAAATATTGCACTTTTGATTTGCGATTATCAGCTAATAATTTTGTTTATTTGTTTTTCATAATCAGCAATGCATATTATATGTCATGAAGAAGTGATACTTTAAGTATACAATATCTAACGATTGGTAGAAGACAATAAAGTCACAGTCATGGAATATTTTATCTATGCCACAAGTGACCATGACAGCTATGACAAATGTTTATCATTGTTAGAGTTATTTGCATTCCTCTGTCCTTTACTTTTCAGTGTCTGTCAGTACATGGTTCAGTTAACAGCTCACTGTTCACTGATACCAATCAGTATTTTATATTTTAGTTTCCAGTGGCGTTAGTCTTCAGAAACTCCTATATACTTGAGTGTGGTTTAAGTTTTCAGTACTTCAATCTTGTCATCAGATAGCTGTAAGTTAGCGATGGGTGTCCTGAGTTTAGAGTTATCCTGATGATGGGCACCAAGTCAGTGTGCATGGATGGTGTCATCACTCACCCATGGCTTGGTCTGTGTGTCAGTTAACATCTTTAACCCTAGGTTTGTGTATTGTTCAACATTTGTTGTACCATTGTTGTGTTCAAATATGTTATCATGATTTTGACAATGCTCCCACATTACCCTAAGTCAGTCAAGAAAATAATGTTCAGTACTTAAACTGATCTGAGAAATCTAGCTTTCAGCACAGAAAGCATGTTTAACAGCATATCAAGTGATCCCTAGAAACAGGTTCTGCTCCCTTACTTCTAACTGTATCATGTCTGTCATCATAGTTTGCAAAATAGGTGCCTCTTATTTCTGTTACATTTGAACCATGGACCTATTAAATCTTTATCTTTGACATTAGAGTTGTAGTAGTGACCCACTGGCCATGGTAACTTTCATCTTCAGACATTATCAGTGTTTGAAAAAGCTGTCCTCCTGAATACCAGAGACAGGTTCAATTTGAGTCAGGCTTGTAAAAATTGAAAGTTTGCTGTCAAACGGACAGGTTGATACACAATTATATCTCTAGGCTTCATATTAAGTACGGGGCAGTGGGGTAGCCTGGTGGTTAAAGCGTTTGGTAGCACGCCGAAGACCCGGGTTTGATTCCCCACATGGGTACAATGTGTGAAGCCCATTTCTGGTGTCCCCAGCCGTGATATTGCTGGAATATTGCTAAAAGCGGCGTAAAACCACACTCACTCACTCACTCATATTAAGTACCCTCAGTGACACTGGCGTGTGCTTATTTATAAACTTGATGTGGGTCCAATGTGTCAAAGGTTGTCAGCTTGTGAAATTTGTGTATTTAAATAAATCTACTCAAACATGTATTTTCTTCTGTTTATTAAAGAATAGAACTACACAGTGTTGACAGGACTGGGTGGTTTACAGTGGGGAAGGCAGATCTTAAAAGTTAAGAGCCCTGTGGTCTGGTACAATCTTTTGGGGAGTTCCATAGGCTGGTGGTATTGAAAAGCTGTTTGCAATACATAATGATAAAGACAGTTTTAAAGTTTTCAGCCAGTTGTTTTGCAAACATAAACATGATGAACTTTCCTTCCCCATGTCCAACATTTTGAGTACATGATGATTCTGACATCAGACAATGACACTGTGCTTATTTTAGGTGGGATCAAGTTTTATTGAACTAAACATGTTGACATTGAAAAACAGCAACACAATGCTAACTAATTAATTGATCAATAGGATGAAATGATCCAGTCATGATTTTTAAACCATTTCCTTCCTAATCTCAAACATGTTTCATTCACCTGGGATCTATCACTTCAGATGTTAAAACTGACAGGTGGGTTTTATCATTTTTCTTGTATAGTGGGGGGCTCGCAGTGGGGTGAATCCAATGGTTAAATGTGTGAAGCCCATTTCTTGTGTCCCCGCCGTGATATTGCAGGAATATTGCTAAAATCGTAACACCCCACATCAGGTACAATGTGTATAATGTGTGAATTGTATGTCCACTTCTGGTGTCCCCCGCCGTGATGTTGCTGGAATATTGCTAAAAGCTGCGTAACACCAACCTCAGTCAGTCAGTCAGTCTTGTATAATGTGACACATGTATGATATGTCCATTTCTGGTGTCCCCTGCCGTGATGTTGCTGGAATATTGCTAAAAGCGGCGTAAAACAAAACTCGGTCAGTCAGTCAGTCTTGTATAGTGTGACACATGTATTGTATGTCCATTTCAGCCCGTCTCCTGCGTCAGTGCTTGTACCAGAGTCATGCCTACTCCTCCCAGAGCACACCTCGCATCACCACACACTACTCCATCCATCCTCGAGACAAGGATCCGCGGTGGAAAGGTCAGACACATTCTTGATGACAGGTTCTCATTATCATGATTGTAGGTAACAGATGTTTGTGTCAGCATGTACATGTCGGATGCCAGGTGTGTCAGTGTTCCTGTTACAAAGCTAAGGAAATTTACGAAATGTTTCTCGTACTTTGGCTTGCTACTTAAGTCCTGCATGCCAGAGGAATACCATGTCTGGGTCAACTGACCCATTTATGATGTACGACATAGTGCCAGCTGATTGCAGCATTGGTATTATTAGCAACCACAAATAGGCAAACATCTAAACCTCTACTTGTTTGCATGTTGGCATGTTTATGTTTTGCCAACTTTAGCATCTTTAGTTTATCGTTTCATTACTTTCAAGACTGTCCAATCAAATTCTAATGGATTCCTTATCACAGTTGTCTAATATAAACACCCATCTTGCCTCTGACTATTGATAACTCAATATACTTTCCATGCTAATCATGTGTAGATTTTGTGGGGAAACATTCAGTGTGAAATGAAGCACTTGGCAAATTGTTTTAGTCAGATATAATCAGAATGATATGTCATCATGACCTAGAGGCATGGATTGATGTTCATGCTGTCAGTCACTTGGTTACTTCACCAAGAACTGATTATTCATCACCTCTGAACTGGAATATTTCTAGCAGCAGCATAAAGCATATTTCATATTTCACAAAAACACTGACATTTCCCTCAATTTTCTCCTGAAGATGTGGACATGGAACGTTTCTCAGATGAAGCTGATGTTGTGATCGTGGGTGGAGGGCCGTCAGGGTTGTCAGCAGCATGTCGCCTCAAACAGATGGCCAATGAGCAGGGGAAGGAACTCCGTGTGTGTTTGGTGGAGAAGGCAGCAGAAATTGGTTCGTCAGATAGTTTGTTTCTCTAAAATATATGTACAAAGTAAGTGACACCCCTGCATGTCATGTACAAAATCAGTGACCCACCCCCCTAGTACATGTGTACAAAATTGATTACCCCCCTACCTCCCCAGAACAAAATGGGTGATCCCCCCTTAAAATATCATCACCTCCCTCAGCCATGAATTATGAACAGTTCCTTACAGCTAAGCTTTTGTACTGTTAAAAGACAGCAGAACAGGTTCTAATCAAATATTTCTGATAAATATATTGTTGGCACAATCAGTACTGGAGTTCATGCTAGTCTCAGGCATGCAAAAACAATTTCACAAGGTATTAAAAGAAACATATTGTTCAACTTTCAGGTGGGCACATATTGTCTGGTGCCTGTGTAGAGCCTCATGCTATCAGTGAACTCTTCCCAGATTACCTTGAGAGAGGGGTGAGTTAACAACTGCTGCCTCAGGATTTAACCCCCCATACTATCAGATCTGTTCCCAAATCTTTGGTTGATTTCAAAGTCATGAGGGAGAGAAATTCTTAGCCAGGATCAATTATTTTATGGTCTACTTTTCATTAACTTGAATGTCCTTTCCTTACAATGCTGAATAACGTGATTCATATCTGAGTCAGTTGAACCAGTCAATTTAAGACACAGTGTATATGTAGTGTATGTTCTTGTTACGACTCTTGTGTCAATTTCAGGCTCCCTTCCACACACCTGTAAAAGAAGACTCGTTTGGTTACCTCACAGAGAAGGGGGGGCGCATCCCTATTCCAGTATTACCAGGTAATGATATGTCCTCAATTATGCAGGAGTTCTGGGCTTTGTGTCATTGAACAACTCAATAGTATACCATGATCACATATGGAAATTGGGTCAGTCACATTGATAAAATTCATTCTTGATGTCCGTGTCTGTGATATTGCTTATCAACTTTCACCTGTGCTCCAGATAGATGACATGTCAGGGTATTGTACACATGGAAACTAGTCAAATATGGATGGATTTGTGAGGGAACATGTCATTTCGTTTTAGCAGCAAGTGGATTTTCTCTCAATCTTGTATTGTTGCCTATCAACCCACTCGAACTGTCTTGTCTCAAGTTTATGATTCCATAAAGTTTAGTTAATCATAAACATCTGTATGTACAACACAAGGCCAACTCTACAAACAGGGAGTATGGTACTGATTGATTAAAAATAATATGTCCATGACTTGTCACTTTTGATAATGACTAGTACTGTACTCACAGGGTTGGTTTAAAATAATATGTCGTTTACTTGTCAGTACCATAGAAAACTTATCTGGAGCACTGCTCATCTTGTGTTTCTTAGTGATGATGTGTAGGTGTGTAGGTGATATTACAGTGGTTTGTTTCCAGGAATGCCCATCTATAACCATGGTAACTACATTGTCCGCCTCGGTAATGTGGTCAGGTGGCTTGGAGAACAAGCAGAGGAACTTGGGGTGGAGATCTACCCTGGATATGCTGCCAGCGAGGTCAGGATAACAGCTGTTGCAAACATGTTGTAGCAGTTACCTCCCTTGAAATGAAGTTGACTAATGAATTGAAATCAAATGTGATAGATAAATACATGTAGAGAGTGTGTGATTGTCATATGCAGGCTTACTTTCTTGAAGGATGTGAAGCTTCTGAGAAGGATGAGGTTTACAGGTTGTCAGTAACTTTACCATCGCTCACATCAAACCATGCATTTTCATACAGGTGCTGTTTCATGAAGATGGAAGTGTGAAGGGCATTGCAACAAATGACGTGGGCATCTTCAAAGATGGATCACCAAAAGTAAGGTGGATCAGGCATGATCTATTAATCATAGTAATATGGTAATAATATAATAATAATGTTTTTAATTCTTTTTCATAGAGATCTTCCTGAGGGTACACATATGCCTTTTCTGCGACTGAAAATGTGATGTGACAGTTGTAACAATGTTTTAATAAAAGATTGTACAATAAAAAAAAAGCTATTTTTATTTACTATACAACCCCCCACCACGTGGAGTTACCTTCCCACCACGCATGCATGGTAAACCAGGTAAGCAGCCTAGCCTAAATCATTATTCCTTCTGCTGTCACGCACCGTGTTCATACGTGCTGATTTGACTGGATTGAAGATACTGTATGTATCTTGTCTTTATTCATTCTTGAGAGCGTTTTATTGACTTTGCACTTGTTTGTGTCTTATTTTATGTGACTTATTGTTGTTATTTACACTTTTTGTCCCTGTGGTTTATGTACTTTTTTACTATTCCACGCGGCGTTGGCTGGGTTCCGTAAGGAGCTCAGCGCCCGGTCGGGCGGGGTGGATCTGACACATCTGGGGGGTTGGCTGCGGCCCGAGCCGGCTCGAGAGCGCCTCCCCCGGCAGCTTGATCCGGCCCGGCCGTGGGGATAATAGCCCCGGCACCTGGTTGCGGCCTAGCTTCACGCGCCAGGTCCATCACAGGTGCCTGGCGCCGGGATGCAGGGTTACCCCTGTCTTCGCCTGGTGCTCTGACTGGCGGTCGCCTATCGCCGACCAGCTCAGGGATACCTCGCGCCTGGCAGCCAGTCTGGGTTGCCGGGAAGCCTGTTGCGGCAGGTTCCTCTCGAGCGCCTCGGTGACCTGGCGCAGATTCCACCCGGCAGGGCGACTCGTTTCCTCGGGCCTCTTGACCTTTATAGTCTTTCTGGTTCAGCCTCTGGCGTATCCTCGGCGGTCTCTCAGGAGTATGAGAGATGCGGCGAGGATGGTGCCGAGGTGGATATGGAGGATGGTGAAGGGAGGGAGGAGGCGGAGGCGGAGTTCGATACTCCTTTGGCTCGTCTCTGCGGCAGGTTCGGGATGGGCTTGCGCCGGGATAAGATCGCTGAAGCCCTGCCTCAGGTGGCCGTTACCGTACAGGCGCCCGACCCAGCGGAGTTCGGCTCGGGGGAGGCTTTCAGCTTAGCCGGTCGCCCGAGGCGCGCCTCCGCATTCTGCCATCACTGGTGAGTGAGGTGGTCAATCCTCTCTTGACTGGTGCCTGCACGCGTTTTGATTTGCCCGGCGTCGGCAAGCTGTTCGAGCCGCCAGTGGTGGATGAGTGCGTCTTTTCGTCCGTCACTCTAGGGGGTCATCCTCGTCTTCCCTGGCCTCGGCCAGGCAGGGCAAGGCGCCTCCCCTTTTCCTACTAATTCACTTACGGCTGAAGTCTGCGTGCGGTCCTTCGAGGAGTGCTGCGGTGCGCAGCCCAGCAATTAAAAGTGGCAGTCCACTCGGCCTACCTGTCTGCTCTGCAGGGACAGCTGGTGGCTCAGAGCGCTTGTGACGCCGACTCTTCGGCGCCCGGTGCTCGTAGCTGCAGCTCGCGGGTGTACACTCTCATCTGGCTCGGGATAGCATTCGGTGCTGTGCCAGCCAGATGATTGAATGCCGTGATGGGCTTGCGCCACCTGTGGTTGTCCGTGGTAGCGGTATTCACCGCCGCGCAACGAAGCGCCTCCTGTCATTGCCATGGGGTCCTCCCTGTTCCCTGGGGCATTGCAGGTTGTGCGGGGAGGCAGCGGAGGCTGTTTCTACCTTTAAAGACTCTAAGCCTTTGTTGGAGCAGCCCTCCGGCTCCTCGCCACCGGCCTTCCCGCTTCGCTTCCGCTTATCCTTCTGCCCGGCGAAGGAAGCTGCAAAGTGGACTGCCCCTTTGCAGTCAAAGCGAACAGAAGCGGCATAAGAGGCAAGGGCAGGCCTGCTCAAGCACAGCAGCCTTTTAGGGGCAGGGGAAGCCAGCCCGGCTTCCCGCTGATTCCTTCTCCAGAGCCCTTATTGTCCCCACACTCCAAGCGGAGACTTGCCGACTGTGGGGTGCACTGCCTCAGGCCACCGCGTCCCTGTCGGGCGGCCGGTTGTTTCTATTCCTCCGGGAGTGGGAGGCAGCCACCTCAAATCCCTGGGTCCTGTCCACGCTCAGGGATGGCCATTTGCCACAGTGGAGGCAGGATCCTCCGTCCTTCTCTCGGGGTTGGCACATGCCGGTGCCGGCCTCCAGCGACAAAGCCGGGCGTGCTCCGTGCGAAGTTCAGTCCTTACTGAACAAGGCAGCCATCGAGGTGGTTCCTGTGGGTCAGCAAGGAGAGGGGTTTTATTCCACCTACTTCCTAGTGACCAAAAAGGACGGAGGGTTCCGACCCATTCTGAATCTCAGAGGGTTGAACCAGTTACTGGAGGTGCCGTCTTTCAGGATGGAGACACTCAGGTCAGTGATCTCCTCCGTCGAGACAGGGGATTGGCTTACGTCAATCGATCTCAGGCAGCATACCTCCATGTTCCAATGCACCCCGAGTTCAAGAAGTACCTCCGGTTCTCCTTCGACAGGACATGCTACCAGTTTAGGTGTGCTCCCCTCCGGCATCTCCACGCGGCCAAGGGTGTTCACCAAACTTATGCTAATCCCAGCTCAGTTAGCCAGGTCTCAGGGCAGGTGTTGTCACCCGTACCTGGACGATTGGCTTCTCAGGGCCTTAGGTCCTCAGTTAAAGCAGAGCCTCCACACAATGCGTGATGGATACTCTGGTGTCACTGGGCTGGATTATCAACCTCAAGAAATCAGACCTCGTTCCGGCCGCAGGATCTGATTTTCTTGGGGAGCCAGATTCAACACGGAGCTAGGGATTGTTTCCCTTGCTCGGACCGCGATCGTCAAAGTCCAGAGGACTGTGTTACAGTTCCTCCAGTCGCCAAATCGTCGGCCCGAACATGGCCGGTTGCTAGGCAACATGGCGGCGACAGTGGGCGTGGTTTGGCGTCTTGGCGTCTGAGGATCGCGACCAGTTCAGCAAGCGTTAACTCAGCTGTGGTCCCATTCGCAGAGCTCACGAGATTATTCTCCACGACGCCGAGTGGTTAATTCCTCACTTGCGATGGTGGGCCGGGCCGTCGAGGGAATTTGTCAGGGGATCCCCTAGACACCCGACACCTTCCCTCTCAGTTCAGCCGGACGCCTCCCTCACAGGTTGGGGGTCCTGGGCGAGCACTCAGCCTCCGGCCTCTGGTGGGGCGGGGAAGTCAACCTCCACATCAATGTGTTAGAACTGAGAGCAGTCCGCAGGGTGTTCGAGTGCTTCGGGTGTTGGTTCAGGGCCGTGTGGTTCGTCTAGAAATGGACAATCAAAGCGGCCATGTCTTACATTCTCAAGCAAGGCGGCACAGTGTCTCTGTCGGCTCCTTCAGGAGGCGTGGCAGTTTCTACTGTGGTGCGATCAGTTCAACATTCGGGTTTTGCCTGTTTATCTCCGGGGTAGACAAGCGTCCGTGCAGATGCACTCTCCGCGGCGTATACTAGCCCCCACAGTGGATGCTTTCGACCAGGAGATATTCGGGATTATCTCCCAGTTGTTGAGGTCGTTCCAGGTGTTTGTGTCTGGGGTGGCGAACCAGATTCCTGTGTTTTGCTCTCAGATTCGGATCCGGGGGCGTTAATAGCAGCCTTTCAGCTCGATTGGGCCGGACAGGGTACTGTGGGCGTTCCCCGATACCACTGATTTCCAGGGTCCTGTCACAGCTGACCGCGCAACCAGCTCGGCGGCTACTTGTGCTTCTGGCACCCCTTTGGTCGGCTTGCGCTGGTTTCCGGTAATTCTCAGGTTTCTGGCTCAGCCTCCTGTTCTATTACCTTTTCGACCCGGACCTCCTATCCCAGAGCGGGGCCCACCCGAATCCAGGATTCAGTGGGTGGCTTGGCCGCTGTCAGGGATCGCCTCCGTCTTGGCCGAATTCCTGCACCAGTTGCAGACACAATTCTGGCCATGCAGAGAGTTCGACAAGCGTTCAATATGAGGATAGATGGGCCTGTTATTCGTGCTGGTGTGTCAACAGGGGATTCTTGATCCCTTTTCTACAGATTTAGTCTCTGTTTTAGAATTCCTCCAGTCGGTTGGGCCCGGTCTAGTGGCTTCAACCCGTTCGAGGATATTCTACGGCTATTTCTGCGTTTCATATTCCTGTTGTGGCCGATTGCTCTCTTGGGGCAGCACCCTCTTGTGCAGCGCTTTTAGCGAGGCGTGGACAGAATCCGTCCGGTTGTCCGGCGGATCAGTCCCCAATGGGACTTATCAATCGTTCTTGATTGGCTGTCCGGTCCACTGTTTCACAATTTGTCGGCTCTTTCACTCCAGCTGTTGGCGTGGAAGGCGAAGCGTTTCTTAATGGCGGTGACTTCAGGCGAGGCGGGTTGGCGATATTCACGCAATGTCGGCCCGATCCAGCTTACTGTTTTCACAAAGACAGAGTTAGCATCGGCTGCCTGATACTTACCGTCCTAAGAAGGATAGTCCCTTCCATGTGGCCGAAGCCTATTGAGCTCAAGCTTTCACTCAGCCTTCCTGTCCGGTACCTCTCTCGGCGTGCTCCGTCTTAGATGTCCGTAAGACACTTAAGGCTTATATCAAAGAACAAGGGGTACCCGTAAGGGTTTATGTGGTGATGTTTTTATTCCCATGTCTTTTGCATTCTGCTCTATACTTAACTGGCCTTGGAAACTTTGCTGAATATATATATTAAGGCATTTTCGTTTCTGGTGGCTTATGCGGGACCCCTTATCTTGGCTTCCGAGTGATTTACGGATGGGAGGGAGGGTTTGTCGTTCGTTTGCATTAGCGAGGTTTGGCTGGGCAATTTACATATGTTGACCCTGACCCTGGCTCATGCCCCGCCTGATTGGCTATGGTGGACCGTGACCCGGGTAAGTGAGCTTTTCTGCTATATTTAGCTTGGGAAATTCCACTTCTTGTCGGGTGTTTTCTGCAGACAGAATGCCAATCCTTAGCTCCGTCTTTAGGAGTCTGTCTTATGCTTATAAGTACCCAAAGGAGGAATATATAAAAGAATCGAACTAACCTGTAGAGGTTTCAGATTCTTTGAATATATTCCTCCTTGAAAACGCCCACCCTCCCACATTCTGTCTGGCGTCGTTCAGCATGGAAAGTGAGGTATGAGGATTCACGGTCTAGAGTTACCTGCTCTTGGCTGTAGGGGGCGGAGGGCCCTGTAAGGAGTGGTCTCACAAGACAAAGCGTAGTTTTGTTTTGTAAATATTTTATTCAAATATTGTTACAACTGTATGCATTACAGAATTTAAATGGACATTTAAATGCTTATAAGTACCCAAGGAGGAATATATTCAAAGAATCTGAAACCTCTACAGGTTAGTTCGATTTTTTGTTTTTCTTGACCTTATGGGAGGTTAAGCCAGCGCATCCCTTGGTCGCTGGGTCTAGGCTTAGCTTTGACTTACCAGAGGTTGTGAAGTGCTACCAGTTAGGGGACGATGTACTTTTCAGCGTGCGTGTGTGGCGTATCAGAGCTACGAGGAAGTATTCGAAATCGCGAGTCAGCAGATCAGGGTAGTGGTCCATGGGGCATATCTGTCCTCACTTCAGATATCCGTCCTGGAACCGGATGCACTGGCTGGCGTTTCGCCAAATGCTGTTTTGCTCCGGCAGCTTACTGATTCATTCACGATCAGCGGCATCTCAGGTCGTAATGCAGTCTGTGGTTGTCGACTTCACGGTATTCGGTGGCAACACAGCAGACCTTGCTGGCCCTTCCATTTCGGCTGGATGTTGCGAGGGGCAATGTTATTCGGTTATTCCTTCAAAGGATTCTAAGGCCTTGTTTAAGCAACTGTGGGTTTCTCGCCCCCGAACTCCCATTGCGAGTTCCTCCTCTGGGATGCAGCCTATGCCCGAGTCTGCTGGCTGGCGTTGGTCGCCCGCCAAGGGTGGAAGCAAGGAACAGTCTACTGCTGGTTCACAGCAGCCTTTTCGCAGTCGGGAGGGTCTGCCCCGACCCCACGCGCTTCTGCCCAATATTCCTGTGGGAGGCCGCCTCTCTATGTTCTGGTCGGAGTGGGAGAAGGCTACACACAACCCTTGGGTGCTGTCCACCATTACTGTCGGCCACTTACCACAATGGAAGCGAGGCCCGCCAGAGTTTACCGGCATAAGGCGCACCCCTGTGCCGCCCTGTCCGGTCAAGGCGGGAATTTTGCGAGACGAGGTTCAGGCTTTGCTGACCAAGTCCGCCATAGAGCATGTTCCACCGGGAGATGAAATGTCGGGTCTTTACTCCATGTACTTCCTTGTCCCACAGCGGCTGAGGATGCGCCCTAAACAGCAGGCTTTGGTATGTCTGTGGGCTCACTCGGAGGATCTGGAGAAGTGTCTCACCTTCAGTGGTGGACCGATGTTGGGAATTTCTCCAAGGATTTCCCCTTGAGCCTCCCTACACGGCTCTCTCAGTTCAAACCGATGCATCCCTCACAGGCTGGGGGTGTTCTGGGCAGTCTGTCTGTGTCCAGGCGCAGGTCGAAGCGAAGCCCGACTCCACAGCAACGGGTTAGAACTGAGAGCCTCCAGGTTGGTATTCGATGCGCTTCTGGGATCCACGTTCAGGGCTAGGTTGTTCGTCTGCAAATGGACAACCATATGGCCATGACATACATCCTGAAGCAAGGCAGCCGCGGTGTCTCCAGTGCTCCTTCGGGAGGCGTGGGAGTAAGGATTCTGGCGGCTCACAAGTGGATGCTCGAATGGCGGATATTCAGAGTTATCTCCCAGTTATGCGAATTGCGTTCCAGGTGGATCTGTTGCATCTGGCGGGGACGTATCAGATACCAGTGTACTTGAATACCAGACCAGAAGGCGTTGGCCTCCGGCGCCTTCCTGGTGGATGGATGGACAGGGTACTATGGTCCTCTATCAGCTATCCACCCAACCGGCTCGGCTACTTGTGCTACTGGCACCTCTTTGGCCGTCACGGAGCTGGTTTCCGGTAATTCTCAGTTTTCTGGCTCAGCCTCCTGTTCTATTACCTTTACGACCGGACATTCTCACTCAGAACAGAGTGCCACACCCAGATCCGCAGATCCAATGTGTGGCCTGGCCTCTGTCAGGTCTAGCCTGGAAGCACGCAGAATTCCTGCAGCAGTTGCAGACACAATTCTAGCTTCAAGGCAGGATTCGACAAACGTTCAATATAAGGATAGGTGGTCCCGCTATGCGCACTGGTGTTCAGATAGGGGGATTGCAGATCCCTTTTCAGCGGATTAAGTCCGAGTTCTGGAGTTCCTTCAGTCTCGTTTGGAAGAGGGTTTGGCAGCCTCAACCATTCGTGGCTACTCCACTGCTACTTCCACTTTTCACACCCCTATCGATGGTGCTCTTCTGGGGCAGCACCCTCTTGTGCAGCGCTTCTTAGCTGGCGTGGATCGGGTTCAACCTGCTCTCAAGCGAACCAGCCCACCTTGGGATTTGTCAATCATGCTATATTGGCTGTCCGGTCCTGTTTCTCACATCTATCAGCTATTTCACTTCAGTTGTTAACGGAAAACAGCCTTTCTTGTGGCGGTGACATCCGGTAGAAGGGTCGGTTTTCCATCCAGATCGGGTCAGTATTCGCCTCCCAGATAGCTACCGTCTGAAGATCGATCATGCTTTCCACGTGACAGCTCCTATTGATCTTCCCACTCTTACCCAGCCTTCTACATCAGGGACCACTCCTATGGAGCGCGTGCTCACCTGTTGGATGTCCGCAAGACCCGTGGACGGGTACCCAGCTGTTCTGCTGTTACAGTAGCTGGGGTTCCTGCCAAGTAAACAGACAATCTCTAAGCTGGCTTGTTTCTGTTATTTTTGCAGCTTATCAGGCTAAGTAAGGGTAAGCCTTTCCTCCCCGCGAATTATGTTCCCTGATGGTTTGTCAGCAAAAGGAATGATGATACAGGCTAGGCTGCTTACCTGGTTGACCATGCATGCGTGGTGGGAAGGTAACTCCACAAGGCTTTTTTATTTTTTGTACAATCTTTTATTAAAACATTGTTACAACTGTCACATGACATTTTCAGTCGCAGAAAATGCATATGTGTACCCCAAGGAAGATTCTCTTCAAAGAATTGGAAACCTCTACAGGTTTAGCTAAATATTTGACAGCCTTCCAAGTAATATTTTGTGAATGTGAATTTAAAGTTGTTGTTGTGTATTGCCTAATGACTTTATGACTGCTGACATGCCTTATATTAAACTCACACAGTCACTCACTCAAAATCTGAAGTGTCATGTGACTTTGTAATGTGACCATGGAATTGCCAAACTTGAATGTCTTTTAGATTCACATGGCAAGTATGGAAGCACATGTGAGACTCACTGTTAGAGTTATTAATGACTCTATGACATCAGATTAAACTGTGCTCTCTTGTGCCTAGGAAACTTTTGAACGAGGTATGGAGCTGCACGCGAAGGTGACAATGTTTGGGGAAGGTTGTCACGGCCATCTTGCAAAGCAGTTGTACAAGCAGTTTGATCTTGCGGAAAGACTGTCAGCCTCAGACGTACGGTATAGGTTTAAAGGAATTGTGGGAAGTAGAGCCGGAGAAGCATCGTCCTGGTCGAGTGGAACATACTGTAGGATGGCCTTTTGTGAGTGATGTGGGGCAAAATTGTGTGGGGAATAAATGTCTCAATGTCTTAACGTATCTGTGTCATTAATTGGCCCAAACTTTGCTATAAGCATCATTTTATGTTGAGTTCAATGTTATTAGTAAGCTTAGTTTGCTGGACTGAACAGAATATTGCTAGAAATTTACTGGCTGAATTCGAAAGATGCGTAATATTGCTTAATACAGGTCTAAATATGCTAAACTGGTGAAATATTACTTGCCTGTATAGGTATCTTGTTTATCTACATTTATTCATGAAGCTGCTTGTGTCTCTGTTCAGGACAGACACACCTATGGAGGGACATTCTTGTACCATCTAGGGGAGGGAGCACCACTGGTTGTTGTGGGCATGGTGGTAAGTTTTGGCTGCTCTCATGGTCGATAACAAACACTACATAACACTCCTACAGGTAGAAAGATGGTTGATAATTCACAGTCTTGTATACACTATGCTCCATCACCCATTGCAGGTAGTCACTAAAGTAGTAGTACATGAAGAACTCGGGTAGCTTAATGGTTAAAGCATCCATTCGTCCACTCAAGACCTGGGTTTGCTTTCCCACATGGGTACAATGTGTAAAGCCTATTCTGGTTTCCCCATGATATTGCTTGAACATTTCTAAAAGCGGCGTAAAACCATACTCACTCATTACCCACGAGGAGCTGTCACTTCCTGAATGTTACTAGAATAGTGTTCATTTCCATCCTTGTAGGTTGGCCTGGACTATGAAAACCCCTACATGAGCCCATTTCGGGAGTTCCAGAGGTTCAAGCACCACCCCAGTGTGGAGCCTCTGTTCCGGGGAGGCAAGAGGATCTGCTATGGAGCCAGGGCTCTCAATGAAGGAGGACTGCAGGTCAGTGGGCGAAGCTCATCTACAGTATCACTGATAGACCAGGAAGACTCTTGTTTTTTGTTTTATGCATTCTTGATCATCCAGTGATATATTTCCTATCCATTTTGGTAAATCTGTTCTTGTCATTGATACACTGTCATAAGTGACAATTCTGCACACAGCAATATCCTCTAATGTTCTCATACAATATGGAATAAAACTAAGCGATTTTCTTCAGTTATTTTACAGTCCTTTGTGGACAGTTTTTTGTGAAACTGGTGCATTACTTTACTCCAAATATGGCTGCTGCAGTGTAAAGGTTACTTTAGAATTGTAACATGCACCCATTTCTTCTCTGATAAATTATTGTGATGTAGCAAACTCTCTCAGGTCCAAAGTCAGGGGATAATAAAAAGGGGCGGTGGGGTAACCTAGTGCTTAAAGTGTCTGTTCGTCAATCCGAAGACCCGGGTTCGAATCCCCACATGGGTACAATGTGTGAAGCCCATTTCTGGTGTCCTTCGATGTGATATTCCTGGAATATTCCTAAAAGTGGTGTAAAAACCATACTCACTCACTAAACCATGAGCATTCTTGGGCTGGCCAGATGTCAGTTCTAAAAATATTAACAAGAACCATATAGAGCACAGATATTCCATCGCATCCGTCGGATGAAGATGTTGGGGCACTTAAATAGAGAGGGTGTAAGGAATACCCACATGTTGAGCCTGGTCTTTATTGATTTCCATCTGGAACTACCTGTGGAGTGTTTGTCAGATCTTCATGCAGAAAGGTATCATATCAGTGTGAAAGATCTGATTTAAAGAAGATGCTTGACATGCTTTCCTTTAAGGATCAATGTTAAAGATACCCCTGTTGTTGTTTTTGTTATAGAGTGTGCCTAAGCTGACTTTCCCTGGGGGCTGTTTAATGGGCTGCAGCCCTGGTTTCATGAATGTCCCAAAGATCAAAGGGACTCATAACGCCATGAAGAGTGGCATGGTGGCTGCTGAGTCTGTGTTCGACACAATATTTGATGAGAATCTCAACTCTCCCACTGTAGGTAAGTATCTCTTAAGATGGAGCTATGTGAGACTGTTTGGCTATGTTCCCAGTAACGCTGAAGGTGAGTCAGTGTTTAAAACCATATTTGATGAGAATCTCAACTCTCCCACTGTAGGTAGACCAGTATATCTTGAGGCGGAGCTGTGTGAGACAGTATAGCTAGCTTCCCAGTAATGCTGAAGGCGAGTCAGTGTTTGACACAATATTTGATGAGGATATCAACTCCATCACCTCTATTTTCAGAGGCCGAATGCAAAGCTTTCAGAATATGATGACATTGACTGACTGGTTCACCTCTCTCCTGATGCAATAGCATGATGACTGGCTAAATGCAAAGAACTCTGTCAACACTTTGAGGAAAAAAACATTACACCTTTCTTATTAGGATGTGATATTTATTTCTTAAATCTGATATTAGTGGGTCCCTGCCTGGCGCTCGGCATTAATGGGTACAACAAGGACTGGTCGGCTCGGAGTCAGTATAATGTGTCTGAGTGGGGTATTCATGCTTCACTGCGGCATGGTATCTCAGTGGGCTAGCACTATAAAACCAGCTTAAGTCTGGGCTAGTACAAGCAGCCGCACATACACATACACGCGCATGCACATCGTCATATGAGCGAAATATTCTCAAGTATGACGTTAAACCCAATTTCACCTCACCTCACCTCACCTGATATTAGTGCTGCCAGTTCTTCTGACTGGCGGGGCGGTGGGGTAGCATAGTGGTAAAAGCGTTGGCTCGTCACGCCGAAGGCCTGGGTTCGATTGCCCACATGGGTACAATGTGTGAAGCCCATTTCTGGTGTCCCCCGCCGTGATATTGCTAAAAGCGGTGTAAAACCAACTCACTCACTCACTCTTCTGACTGGCAGATTCCATGCCCTCTATAAACACTGCTGTGACGTTACTGAGGCACTTTTGTCCCCACTAGCTGAAGTTTTTCTGTGACTCTACCAGTTACAGTTCTCCTATATCTGACATGCCTGTTTATGTTGTTGACAGGTCTAGATCCAGAGTGTTACGAGGAACGGATCCGTGACAGCTGGGTCTGGAAGGAGCTGCGTTCTGTCCGTAATGTTCGTCCATCTTTCAACACATCATTAGGACTGTATGGAGGAATCATGTACACTGGCCTCTTCCACTGGATACTGAGGGGCAAGGAGCCCTGGACACTGTCACACAAAGGTAGGGTCACATGTTCAACACATGTGGAGGGATCTGGGTTAGGATTTTAAGATACATCTCTGTATCTTTACAAGTTCCAGATGTCAAAAGCAGGATGTTGGAGTTTGGGACCACACGACTGAAGGTTGAAGGGTGTGCAAAGATGTTCAGTTTGCCACTGACATATGTTACAAATTATTCGTTATTTGTTAAATATTATAACAAGACTTCTTTCCTCGTTAAATGTGTTTTGGGGACAATGTCAGATTTTAACTACCAGTGGGTTTCGTCAAAATCTGATTAGCATCAGTTGATGTGTCAAGGAGATGCACTATGACATCATGATGTCCATACACCCAATCTGATTGACTTATGTGGGTTTTTACAACATGGCACTGCCCAATCAGATAGCTGAGTTTTATTGTGATTATTTATATGTGTAATCAGTGGTAAAGAGTGGTAACTGAAATCTCATCACAGGAGGGGACCATGATCAGCTGAAGCCAGCGGCTGAATCAACACCCATCGACTACCCCAGACCTGATGGAGAAGTCAGCTTTGACCTTTTGACCTCAGTGGCCTTGACCGGCACCAATCATGACCATGACCAGCCTGCACATCTCACACTCAGGGATGACTCGGTCCCAGTCAACCGAAACCTTGCCCTATTTGATGGCCCTGAACAACGATTCTGTCCTGCAGGTAACAATAGTTGTACCATGTCATGTCTGTATTTGTAACTGAAATGTATATTCATAGTGAACAGTAACTGTGTTATGTTCTATCAAAAACCATGGTGTTGTGATTGGGCTGAAGAATTGACTTCATATCTATTCACAAAGAAATCTGTTAAGAGTGTATGCCTGTTTTCACATTTATATCTCTGTTAACACAAGAACTCTTTCATGACAATTCAAACAATGTCAAGTGTTATCACTGCACAGACACAAAACACTGATCAGATGCTTGATGGACATTTAGAAGTTGGAAGGTAACACAGCAATGTATTGTGTGAATTTAAAACTTCTTATTTTTCCTTATCCTGACTCATGCTCTTTTGCTTGCTTGTCTTCTTCTTCTTGCGAACATAGTGGAACACTTGTATCTCCTTATTTGAAGCTCCCTTCAAAATAAAATCACTAATTGGTACTCACCACGAGTTGCTCCCCTTTGTTTCCCCTGGCGGAAAGGTGTAAGCCACCCTCTGGCCATGTGCTCCACTCTCTCCTTCTTAGCCCAGTGAGCAGGATGTGAGCGCCTGTGTCTCCTTACACACTATATCCTTTGGTTTTCTTAGTTTATTACCTCTTATAGGTTACTATAGAGGTATAGCTAGTATCCTTCATTAATTTGCATTGATATTTAATCGTATTTCTACTGTTTATTCACATTGAGTTCGTGATTGTTCAGCTAGTATTTACGTTGATGAAAATCTGTACTATTTGCAATTTCACGTTTTTCGATTGCTGACCCGCATGTATTATGCCCTAGTTGTGCTTCGCCTTGTGCGTTTGATACATGTTGCAGTTACTGCATTAATCTATCCAATTCTGCTTTTCATAAATATCTTTGCGTCGTGAGGCGTACCGCAGAATAGGTCCACGCCAAACAAGGGTTAGACATGGCGATACATCAGATTCCCCTTCCAGTCAGCTGCTGTCGATAGACCCCCTCCCGTCTGGTGTTTAAGCAAGAGACTCCGTCGGAAGATGGCGTGGGATGCAGTCCGCCACCTCTAAGAAGCGTCCTGCCTCCCCAGGCGTCCCGTCATCGCCAGATAAAGTCCAAGAGGGCCACGGCGTCTTCCCAGCGCAGACTTCGGACCCCAGGGCAGAGTCGACATCCAAGGGGAAGTCTGAAGTCGTCAAGAACTTTCTCAGCCGAGATCGTTCCAGCCGCCCGAACTGGGCCTACGATGATCAGCCGATCATCATCCCTGACGACGCCACAAGAAGCGACGGTGACAGCTACAGTGACATCAGCAGAGATCGCCATGCAGCCTGATGCCTCTACACTGATGTCAGGCGACTTCCCTGAGGGTCAGCAGCTGTCATCGCAGAGAGGGCACCGACTACGCCGTCGCCAGACCATCCCAGACGCGAGCTGTTGCGGCAGATCATGACCATGATGGAGGGCCACTACAGTCGGGGAAACAGCCAGCCAAGGGCCGAGCAAGCAACGCAGCGATACCCCAGAGGCACCCCCAGTCAGCGTAGCAGCCACTTATGAAGCAGCCGAGAAGGAAGTCACAGACCACCTCGACCGAAGGGACAGATGTACAGTCTTTTCGCTGAGGCCTTCGCGAAGACGGAAGATCGATCATCGTCCTCGGCCTCATCCTCAGATGCAGACTCAGACCACCAGGCGCCACGGAAACCGCCACGGAAGTCAAAGCGCCGCTCCCCAGGTCGGGACGCAGAGGAAGCTGCACGAAGGCCGTCCACACAGATCGTCATCGTCCAGAAGGGCGCCGAGGGACTATTCAAGAGCTTCAATGAAGCCGTCAACATTCTCCTCGCAGATCTAGGTCTTCCCATAGGCGCGCCAGATCACCTAGGCGATCTCCACGCCCGTTCTCCACGCCCGATCTCCACATTACATCACCTGCGCGGGTCATCACACAAAGTCGGCACACAGGTCTACACTCAGGTCTCCCGAGTGTCACCCGACATAGAGATAGCAGCCCACAGGTCACCATCAGAAGAGCATCAACCTCTCATCTCCGATGCTGGTACAGAAGATGATGGAGGCATCATCTTCTCAGGCGCCGAGATAAGATATTGGATGGTAAACAACCTAGATTTATCTTCACCGTCCAAGAGTGGCAACTCAGCGCAGACATACCTGATGAAGGAAGACGATGCAGATGCCATCACCTTACCTCCGATCGACCCGATTGCTGCGGTGCCACATAATCTAGATACAGCCTTCATTAAAGCCTTTCACGCTAAGAAGTTCTCCACGCACAACATGGACCCCTTCCTGAAGGCACAAGACATCGATGAAAACTACAAGCTGATCAGCGATGTTAAGAACAAGAACTACAAGATTGGCGATCGCAAGCTGGTGCAGATAGAAACATGGCCGAGGCGCATGTTTTGGCCTAAATAGATCTAGAGCGATCAATGAGACACTTATCACCAGATTTCGTAATACGACCTCTGAAGATGATAGGATGATCTACTCGGCCCTACTGATGCAAAAGAAGGACCAGCAGTTCCTTACAGATCATCTCACATCTGTCTCAGCAGCACTGACCTTAGCTTCGTCGTCAAGGCCTCCTCGCTTCCTGCAGCTGGGGTGAGAACTTTACAGCTCCACTCTATACAGCCCGTGGTCATCCCCAAACATCTTTGGCGGAGGAATAGACAAAGTCTCCAAAGGAAGTCACTAAGGACTCCAGAGAAGTCCTTATGATCAAGTCGATGGACACGCTAGCCAGCGTCATCAGGCAGACTTCACAAAGATACTCAGGGAGATCTAAGTTCACCGGGACTACAGAAAGCACGGGATAGGAAGATAGCCAAGCGCCAGGGAAAGATTCTTTTAAATTAAGCCCATATGGCAACTATAGAGGAGGGTCAGGAAGAGGCAGGACACCCAGAGGTTCCGCAACTATAAGCGCTGAAAGACAGGTTCGAGCGACTGGAGTCTTCCACCCCAGCCGTTCCAGTACAACCGTCACAAGTGGGTGGGCGCCTCCAACTACACTGGGAGAACTGGGGAATGTTAAAAGACCCTTATGTCTCCAACATTCTTCAACACGTTTAGTATCCCACTACAGGCCGCGCCTCCGCTGACAGTCAACCCTTACAAGTTCGACTTACAGGCACAACAACTACCAAAGTTAAGAGGCGGTTACATCACTCATAACCAAGCAGGCCATAGAAGTACTAGATCAAGTAAACATCGAACCAGGCTTCTACTCCCCAGTTTTCCTAGTACCCAAGAAAAACTCCAAGGAGAAATACAGACTCATTTACAACATGAGCTTTTCAGCAGGAATTATCTCGCCAAACCACCAAAGTTTAGCATGATACACCTTCCTCAGATTCACGGCAGTTGATTAAGCCCCATGGATTACATGGCCAGTATAGATCTGCAAGGCGCATATCTACATATCCCGATACATCGAATCCAGGAAATATCTAAGATTTACACTAGGCGGGCTACATTACCAATGGAAAGTACTCCCATTGGCATATCATCAGCCCCTGGCTATTCACGAGGATAGCGAAACCTATTGTCACCTATCTACATCGTCTAGGGCTACGCAGTGCGTTCTACCTCGACGGACGGGATACAAGTAGATCAAGATCCACAGCGTCTCAAACTACAGTTAAACTACATCATAAAGCTACTAACACAGCTAGGATGGTTAGTAAACTTACTCAAGTCGGGACCTAGTACCATCGCCAAGATCTGCAGTTCCTAGGCATTCGATTTATCACGAATCACAACCCGTATCGTCGTACCAGAAGACCGTTGGCTCAAGATCCAACAGACCATTCCGCCAGCTCTACTCTCTCCGTTACCACTCACGACAATGGCAGAGCTTGTTGGGTCTCCTCACATCAGCCCAAGACATGACAGTCTCAGGCAGATTACAGTTCGCCCAATACAGGTCTTCATCAATGCACATCTCGGCGACCTACAACCATTCAGTCTACCGAAGCGTCTCAGACCTCATCTACTATGGTGGACCAGGAGGTCGAATGTTTGCGAAGGTATTTGTTTAGAAGAGCAGAATTCAAAACCCATCTATATGTAGGCAGCGTTAAGCTCCAAGGTTGGGGAGCTCATCTACGCCAACCCGGACGACATCAGGGTTATGGAATCAGCAAGAAAGCAAGCTCCATATAAACATGTTAGAGATGAAAGCTGTAATCAGCGCCATACTTCATTGGAGCACCATTCTACAGAATCGCGCCAATGATTCATACCCGACAACTTCGACAGTGGCGTTCTATGTGAACAAACAAGGTTCAACGAGATCACTGAACCTATTGACTTTAAGCTTTCAACTGTTCGATCTAATACCACGATCTAAACCTACATGTCAGAGCATGTCACATTCCGGAGCCAAGAATGTACTAGCAGGCGCGCTCTCTCGGCCACATCAACCGTCACCGACAGAATGGATGCTCAATACAGAAATATTTGCACAGATAATCAAGCAAATAGGGCGCCGCTAGTAGATCTATTCGCAACACGCTTCAACAATCAGCTACCGACATTCGTGTCACCAGTCCCAGACCCACAAGCATGGGCAGCGGACGGCTCTAAGCATATCCTGGGAAGGCCTCAATGCGTGCAGCGTTTCCGCCGCCAGCAATAATACCTCAAGTGTTACAGAAAATCAGACAAACACAGAGCCTCCAACTCACTTTGGTGCAGCCCTACTGGCGGCCAGAGCACGGTTTCCCATTCTAATTCAAGAAATCGGTCAACCAACACTAGAGCTACCCAAGCTCAAATCTATTAATACATCCACACACCAAACAGGTGCACGGAAGCCCAGAAGTATTCCAACTTCGCATTATGGACTGTATTAAAATGTGTTTAAACAAGAGAGAATTATTCTACCAGAGGCAAAAGCGGTCCGCGCTTGCCTTAATTCTAATTCTACGTGGCAATGCGGCGACAAGTGGCACAGTTTTGAAATTACGCAGCAAATAAAGGGATTTACAGCAAGAGATGCTACTCATCCACAAGTGGCAGATTATTTGTGTTACTTACGGCAAAACAAACATTTAAAAGGCTCGACATTGTCAACATATCTTGCAGCTTAGTTCTGTGATTACCATGAGAGCGGGTGTTAAATTGACAAGAACTCCAGAGTTACTGGCCTTACTCACGTGCTTTCGATTGGAGGACCAAAGCGGAAGTTCCCGCCCAGCTTGGGATCTGAATATAGTGTTACAACACCTCACAAGTGAGGCTTATGAACCGTTGGAATCGACAAACTTTGAATTTCTCTCACAGAAAACGCTTTTCCTGTTATCTCTAGCCACAGCAGCCAGGATGTCGGAAATTCACGCACTAGATTATGAGAGGATACAGTTTGATGACAATCAAAACACAGCACACCTGGGATTAAGATGGGATTTCATCGCCAAAAATCAACTACCAGGTCAACCAGACAGGTTATTTCATATCCCTGCATTATCCTCCATTCTCGGATCTCAAGATACACTGGACTTATCTCTATGCCCAGTCAGAGCTCTCAAAATCTATTTCACGACGTTCCAAAACAAGGCGAAGATTTCTCAAAGCGATTATTCATTCCCTTTGTCGGCAACAACTCAGACAGAAGTCTCTCGTACCACCATATCTATATGGATAAGAACTGTCATAGCCTACAAGGCAGCAGGACTGGACCCTCCAACAGCATCAAATCCCATGAAATCAGGGCTTAGCTTCCACTCTCGCCTTTACACGGTAACTGTTCATTGAATACAATTATGGAAGGATGCTTTTGGAAATCTAACATGGTGTTTGCTAATCACTACCTGAGAGATATCACCACCGAGGGCGTCTCAGGCATTCACCATTTTGGTCCCTTGGTCCTGCGCACAGCAGTTGACAGTCCCTCGTAGCGTTAACACGTAGTCTTACGAGATTAATATGCATAATTGTTACATGCATTATCTAGCTTATAACTCTACGGAGTTCTAGCAGTATGTATATATGTTCAGTGGTATAGCTTCTCTATCAGAGTCGCTTTGATATTGTTGTTTATAATATCTCAGTATATTATTAATGTAAATACCCCAGTATGGCATTATAACCTATGGCTTATAATAGAGGAATTATCCTAAGTCTATGCCTTTATGAAGTTCCCGTGAGGGGTTATTACAGTTATATCTATATAAATCACTAATTCTATAATCCAAAGTATTCTGTTTTGCCCACCTCCGCTTCCTCAGAGGATTCTACAAGCAAAGAGCATGAGTCAGGATAAGGAAAAATATGTAATTTTTGAGTAAAATTGATATTTTATACTTATCCTGACTCATGAGGTTAACCCTCCCATCCTCCCACATAACACTTTGGATTTCCCTGTAAGTGGAGCACATGGCCAGAGGGGTGGCTTACACCTTTCCCGCCAGGGGAAACAAAGGGGAGCAACTCGTGGTGAGTACCAATTAGTGATTTTATTTTGAAGGGAGCTTCAAATAAGGAGATACAAGTGTTCCACTATGTTCGCAAGAAGAAGAAGACAAGCAAGCAAAAGAGCATGAGTCAGGATAAGTATAAAATATCAATTTTACTCAAAAACTTCTTTATTATTTACAACACAACAGTTTTGGTCTACTTCTTGCCCCTTCATCACCTGGAGAGGATTGTGTAGATAATAAAGAAGTTGTAAATCCATACCATATGTTGTTAAATTACACAGACTTGTTAACATTAGAAATGAATTATTAACATGAGATAACTATACAAAGTCAGAGACAACTTACAAGCCTTGCCTGGTCTGTTATCAGCCAGTCAGGAACCAGTTGTTTCCTAAAGCTTGGGTCAGGGTAGGAGAGGATGTGTGTCTTCAGGAAACATAAGCAGATAAGCGTGAAAACATCCCTTGCAGTCACTGAGGTTTGAGATTAGCCTATTACTCAAAGGACAGTCTGTTTGTTGTTTTGCATGCATTATGGACATGGTCAAAGAATAAGGAAGTTCTAGTTATGTCCCTCGGTTCAAGTATTTTGACATCATGCACCATACCCCCAACCTGAACATATTTTCTTAGAAACTCTTTATACGTCATTTTGCATCCATTGACAAGTAGGTTGAACCATTCCAAGAACCTTCAGCAAAAAGATTTATGTTGCTGTTATGGCCCTTGTTTGACCCTGTTTACATTAAGTCACACACTGGAAATACCTGTGGATCATCATTAGATGATGAGTGTACGTTGAGAAAACTGATACAGAGAATACATGGTTTACAGAGTTATGTCCCCTGTGTCTTATCCTTCTCTGCAGAATCACCACTACGACAATAATGTAGTCATGGCCACAGATCATTTATTGAACCTATTGAAAATATGAAATAATTACTCTACAGATACTCAGATGTATGTTTAGAATCCCGTAACAAAGAAGTCTATTCATCTTTAGATGTTATGTGTGTGTGTATGAATGATGTGAACATGGACTCTAGAACAAGATTTTGGTATATGATGGTAGATAGATTGATCTGTGTCAAAAAATATACCCTGGTACTTTTCTGTCAGGGCTACAGATAAGGGGTGTACAGGCGTAATGTACGCCTCAAAATCAATTAAGTACGACATCATATAAGATTTCAAGCGTATCGTGTATGCACATAAATACCTTTGTACGTCTACCATTTAATTTCTGTGCGTATCGTGCAAATGGAAATATATTTCGGATAAATACTTGTCAAGTTTCTTTTGCGAAACACGATTTGACACATGAGGAAACCCCGACAGTAGGAATCACTTGCGTTGCCATGCAATGATATGCGTCACTATTTTTCGATTGGCTAAAAACTACACTGTTGCTATTTATATCCAGTCGGACCTGGCATCACACGGTCGCTCAGTTATTTCTCACGCGACTTCAAATACAAATACATGGTTGGAAATAGTGATCGATGAATCATCCAGACAAACCACATCACCAACTCACTCACACAAAAACATGTCAGTACTCCTTCAAAATTCTCAGTACACCTCCACTTGCTATATGATGTGTAAGTACACTGACACACCCAAAAGTTATCTGGAGCCCTGTTCTGTAATACCCTATGGGGCTGTGGGGCAGCCTAGTGGTTAAAGTGTTGGCCTGTCACGCTGAAGACCCGGGTTCGATTCCTCACATGGGTAAAATGTGTGAAGCCCATTTCTGGTGTCCCCGGCCGTGATATGGCTGGAATATTCCTACAAGCGGGGTAAACCATACCCACTCACTCGCTCTAATACCCTATACAAGAACGAACCTACTAACTCAATTGGGTTTATGTACTATTGTCATGAAGTAACACTTACCATCTCTTGTCGCCAGGTGTGTATGAGTATGTGGAGACGGAAGATGGCTCTGGCAGGAGGCTCCAGATCAATGCTCAGAACTGCATCCACTGCAAGACCTGTGATATCAAGGACCCCTCTCAGAACATCAACTGGGTGTGTCCTCAGGGAGGGGAGGGGGCCTGCCTACAATGGCATGTAAAATCTTGACCCCCTCCCTATGTGACACACCTCGCACAGCTTCAAGTTCAGGGTCTCGGCAGTAACAGTCACGCTCTGTTACAACTTGGGTTGTCATAATTCGCCAATGATGACACACCTAAAGATTCAATACATGAATCCTACACATGCTGCCATTCGGATTCTGCATCAGTTTAAAAAAAAATTTAATAAGTTTTGCAATATCTGCTATCAGGAAATATAGGGCCAACTCTGATGGCATAATCTATTTGGGTGAACCTATTTAAACCAGTTATCTGTGTTACAAACAAAATGCCTGATGGGAACATCCCGCTTTCAGTCAGGCTGCATGGTACATAAAGTTTCAGGCAGAACCAGTGCAAATTGATCATGAGGTAGGCATGTCATGTCACCCTTAGACGAAGCTGATAAATGATCTCAGGGACTCAACTTATGCTGGTATTTACAAACACATGTTACCTATATTTCTGTATTACTCTGACAAAACACAGCAAAATGAAGTCCTTCATCAGGGTTAGGTTTAAGCCAACACAATCTAGAAAGCAGGACTAGCTGTTGTTGAAAGTAACCTGTTTCACAAAGAACTTGTCTTACCTTTTGTATGACTGTGTTAAATGTGAGTTGGAAAATCGTATCATTACATTCACTTTGTGAGCACTGCATATGAAATCATTTGTTCTTGCAGTTATATGATTTGCTACAGAGTTATTGAATGCCAATACTATTCATTTAACTTTGCCAAAACTTGAAAATTAAGGAATGTCCAGGGACCCTGAAATCTCATATCTACAGTTCTAGATTGTAGTGTTATGGTTATGGCACGGAACCCTTTACTTGTAAATGTCAAACACTGCACATGTGTGGATATATGAGGTTAAGCAATTCAAGTCTCTGCATGTCCATTTGACATTGATACTTGACACGAGAATAGGGCCAGCTGCTAATTGACCCCATCATAAACACTTTGTTGTTCATCACAAATGGATGTGTGCCTCTGTGAAACTCTGCAACGGTAGAAGAGGATTAGCTGTACTGTTCGATATGGAAGTTGTGGTTTCAAGTAGACTGAATGTGTGAAGTGAAACATTTGTGCTTTTGGATGTTTTATTTGAACCAGCCAGAGTTTTTGATTTCAATGCATACATTGACCAGATGTTGTTGATAATGAATGATAAAATCAACTGAAAATGTTCATTGTTTTGTTTGCATTTACTATGTATATCATTATGTAATATATTTATTTGTAAAGAAAGTTGTGTTGAGTCATTTATGAATATACATGTACCTTGAGTTACAGTTCTCGGGAGGGTGGAAATATGAAGCCTTCACTGTTATTATAGCATCTGTAGAATCTTTGAGCCATTGGTGTGAAGAGTTTTGTTTTGGTTGGTTATTTGTTTGTTTACTGAAAAACACAAAGGCAGTACTATAGCAACTTAGGTATATTTTGTAATCAGCTAACTGCAACCTGTCCCCTAAAATCACAATTAAAATATGTTAAGCAAAAGGCTGTTAAGTAATTTGCTCATTAGCTAAAAATAACTCAGAACTGTATAATAAGTTTATGTAACCACAAAAATACATTTCATTAAACAGTAAGGTTTTATGAAAGGTGTGATACAGTTACATACTCAACACCAACATTCCTGATGCAGCAGCAACACTCATTGGTTAAACAGGGAAATATAACATCCCAATGTTTTTCCCAATTTGCTTACAAAGGTCTCTTACCGGTCGTGTGGAATCTCAGGTAAAACTTTGGACACTCACTCATACATTCACTTGCACACCATCAGTCCTGTGGACTATGCAGCATTTATTAAGTTAGCAGCACAGTAGTAGAGACATTGAGAGAACTGATACTACACTGTGGTTTTGATATGATTCTGTTGAGGCCAAAATGTCTTGAAGTTTAGAGATTAGAGCAAGAAAGTTTTCACTTTGATAGAAAAATTAATGTGACTATCTCTTGTATTTTAAACATGTACCCAAATTCTGTTTTACCTGTATTGTGGCAGCAATGAAGAGAGCCTTGTTTTTAATATGGGCAATATTTACAACTAGACAAAAAAATAGTTTGTTTCTTATCGCTTATGTTACAAACAAAACACAGAAGTTAGTTGGACAAGATCTGCCAAGTTGCAGTTGAATGATTGAAATAAACATTAAGAATAAATAAGTTTTTATTGTAATGAATTCCACAGATAAACCAAATATTAAATTGATGAAGTGTCCTTGAAGATTGAAAAAATGTTTGAGGTTTTTCTTATACATAGTAAGAGCCAGTGACTAAGAATGGTTTGTCTACTGATGTATTCTCTAACTGGTAAATAGACATGTAAACGACAACCATGGTATAATGACACTGATAGTACAATGGTAGTATTGATGGTACAGGGAGTATTAACCTTTCAAGCACCCTACACTCCAGGTTTGGTTAGATGTTACACATTGTCGCCATTCTCTATCAGACCACTGCAAACATCATCCTAAAGTGTCTTTGCTGAGATCAGGAAATGTGTGAACATTCAGAAGTGCAAACACCTTGGTTCTTACTGTTCTTGCTCACCCACTATTTTCCCTTGTGCTTGGCAGATGTTTGCGTGACTGCTGTGCTAAGTTTACTCTACGATAGTAAGTGTGTTATGTAGTCTATAGGGCATTCGCTTACTGTGTAAAGACCTTTAATCAAAACTAGCAATAATAGTTTGTTTTATTTTTGATCCACTCTTGGAAACAACCTTACCTTTAAATAAATAATGAACATACATGTATGGATGGCTCAGTCATCTAAACTGCTACAGTTTGCTGTACTGAGAGGTACATCACTCAGGCATTTCAGAAACGTGATCTTGGCTCCACGTCTGTCAGCTCCATAGCCATGGTTTGATATGTACCTAGTAACTGCATCCCTTCTGGCGTTCCTTTTACACCTAACTGAATATGCTGGTCAGGGTGGCATTAAACACAACTCACTCACTCACACAACCACGAGACGCCTTCCAGCATTGCATAAAAAGTGATTGTTTGGTTCTTGAACTCAAATTTCAGCATTCAGCATGTATATGACTCAGACAGGATGAAGTCCTTTACTCAGGCTGAAGGCAGTTAACGTTAGTTATAGTAAGCACACTTACTTTGCCGAGATGAATTTGTGACAACTTGTAATTACTTTGGTGGCTGTGTATAAATGTGGACCATTGGCGGTTTGTCTCCGATTCTCAACCAGGGATGAGTATCACAGGTATCTGTACAACTGATGCACAGTTGTATTACAGAAGATTGACTTGACCTATGGTAGACTGTCCTACTCTATAGATCTCTTTGCATTTTTCTACGTAATGGCTGAGTGGGATATATCCACCAAGTTCTACCTTCAGCAAACTGATGGCCAAGTTGAAAGGTAGTGAAATTGTACTCTCATTAATGATTGGGGTGGTGGGGTAGCCTAGTGGTTCAAGCATTTGCTCGTCACGCTGAAGACCTGTGTTCGATTCTGCACATGGGTACAATGTGTGAAGCACATGTCTGGTGTCCCCGCCGTGATATTCCAGCCTAACTCACTCACTCACTCATTAATGATCACATTTTTTTAAGTTGATAAGTGATAAAAAAGGCAAGATATTTCATGGATGACAATTTCTTTTTCACATTTTGTTGTGATGTTTACGTAAAGATTCTTACGCTGTTATCAACCCTTGCTTGACAGTGGTAGAAGAATCTATATCGAAATGTCACATCATAATGTAAGAAAGAAATTGTCAACCAAGTATTTTGCCTGTATTATCACTCTCATATAATTTTGTTCCATTAAATCCTTTTCCTTAATTGATTCCATATCATTTCAAGCAAGGTACAGTTTGATCCAATCAAATTTAAGCTTTTATTATACTAGAATGTATTCTTTCATCATGTCTGTTGGTTCTTCAGATCAAGAAGATCGTGTTGTTGACAGTCTCGACTTGTCATCATTGTATTGCGATTGGACCAGTGACTATTGACAGCATGATAGACTGCACTGAATGTTGTTTGTGGTCCCATAACATGAATTGAACATTAAATTTTCCATCAGACATCCTCAGTGTTTATAAGCCAGAAATAGTAGTGATGCAAACTTATATTGGCCTGCAAGCAGAAGTACAGTCCTTAATGGTATCAGAATCCTGAGAGGCAGAATTGCAGGTGTCCCCAGATATGCTGTCACTATGGAGTATTCGGTTTAGTTGCATCTTGAAATTAGAATCAAAAGTTCCTTTATAACTACACCCATGTCAGGGAAATGCTCTGTTTCCTTATTCATAACCTACTTCATAGACTATGTGTGCCAACAAACTGTACAGATGCAAGGTATTATGTGAAAATGTTCCATTTTTCATTCATTCACAAGAGCATGATGACGCTGTGACTGTTTTCTTATTTAAGTCATGTTAATCTCACTGTCAGCGTTTCAGTTTTAAAAAAATGATTATTGTGTATGGCCTACTTTTTGCTCCGTAACTGAAATGAAATGTACAGATTCCACATCTGCTGTCCCAGAATATGTCCCATAGATTGTCCCACGACCTGTCACACATCAGTCATATACAGCCGCTCTAAGGCAGAGCAAGCACCTGTCACACATCAGTCATATACAGCCTCTCTAAGGCAGAGCAAGCACCTGTCACACATCAGTCATATACAGCCACTCTAAGGCAGAGCAAGCACCTGTCACACATCAGTCATATACAGCCTCTCTAAGGCAGAGCAAGCACCTGTCACACATCAGTCATATACAGCCTCTCTAAGGCAGAGCAAGCACCTGTCACACATCAGTCATATACAGCCACTCTAAGGCAGAGCAAGCACCTGTCACACATCAGTCATATACAGCCTCTCTAAGGCAGAGCAAGCACCTGTCATGGCCTCCATGGATCAGTGCTGGTGAGAGGTTTATGTAAACACAGCAAGTTGTGGCAGTGTCAGTTATAGTTATCTTGAGTTATGTTCTTGAGGGGTGGAGGGTGGTCTGTTTATCTACATGCATGACAATGATGTGTGCTACATCTACAGACTGGAGCCTGACTTCTGGGTTATTTGCATCTTATGTGAAACTGAAACTTTGGCTGCTATCATTAAATATTTGTTGTTTAATGCTACATTCAGCAATTTTGACAGTGGACTGTAAATAATAGAGTCTGGACCAGACAATCCAGTGACTGACTTTAAAAGCATTGAGCTACACAGTTGGGATACACTGACATGCATCAAGCAAGTCTGACCACTCAATCCCATTAGTCGCCTTGGTTGCTGAAGACCAATTCTTTCCTGAATCATCTTGGGTCAGTCATAAACTGTAAGACTGACATCATAAAATACAAGTTGGTTGACATGTTTGAACAACTTGAATATTAACTTGCTAAGAGTGCCATGTTCTTGAGTCTATTTCCCTGTGTTATAACACAGGTTTAGTCTTCACCTCCATACAGCTGTTCAGAAGGCTTTTGAAGGACGCTTAATCCAAGTGCACTGAACAACTGAGCGGAATAAGGCTCAGTTGTCATGAAAATGATCTTGCTGTAAACAAACATATATAGTATTGCCTTTAGTTGTATGAGGCTTCTTGTCCCTGTTGTCATGGGTGAAACATTTGCATTCCTTTGACATGTCAGGGTAATAAACTTGTGGCTTTCAATCCATTATTTGGCTCACTTGAAATTGTATTTGAAATTCTTAATAAATGGAGACATTTCCTTGGTTCCTAACAATCTTTGCAACATGTTTATTGCATGTATAATTATTATTGAATTGTTTCATTTCATTTCGCATGACCATATATCTCAATGACCTTTCACTTCAAATCAATATCAAAATCATTTATTGGGAGCAGCATAGAGGTACTGTGACCACAGTCACGTCACTTAATCATTATAGCATTCACTTGTCACACTGAAGACCCAGGTTTGATTGACATTCATAGATTTCCCCATCCATGTGTATCACTTCTAAATGCCATTTAACGACATCACATTTCATAAAGTTGACCTCACTTTATGTGCAGAGGTGATATGGTAGCTAGTTGCTACTGGCTGACGTCTAGACACAGAAATAAAGTTAATCTTATTTAATAATACAGGAAGGTATATTTATCAACTGATCAAATCCTAATGCAGCCCAGAACAATTATTAATTTCTGAGAGAGCTGAGGCATTCTAGATGTGCCAAATCATTCTAGACTTGAGTAGGACTCCTATTGAGTGTATTCTTTAGGATCTGGGAGACTGATGACTAAGGTGCCAATGTATGCCTCATATTTCACTCTTGTCATACATTGTGAACTTCTAGTAGAACATAGAAGTGGAGTTCATGGCAATTACTATTTTGCAGGCTGAAAAGTTGATGGATGGATTGCTTAATCTTCTGACATATGAGTATTTTGAGGTGAGCAAAACTGGGCTCTTGACTGATCTCCAGTGAAGATCTGGGTAAATAGGGCTTCAGCAACTGATGATTGTTGTAAGAGACATCAACCGGGATTGTAGTGGGAGGAAAATGTTCCAGTTTCATCTAATGCCAACCTGTTTGATTTCATGTGAACTGTTTGTAGACATTCAAGGACCTATTGCACAAAACAGTCTCAATCAAGGTCAACCTTGAACACTGAGGTGAAATTTAAGGTTAATTTAGTCTGAAGTTAGGTTTGTTTTACACTAACTGTAGCTCATTCTTATTCTGGTGTGTCAGTGTCAGCGATGAGGTTGCAGTTGTAAATCTATTACTTTGCCTGCTCAAACCATTACTCAATATGTTGTAAGAAACACTGTCCGTCAATGAATTCCCTCAGTTTATAACACTATTTCTGAGTACCAGTATTTTATATTGATGAACAAAATAGTCAAATTTAGTCACTAAATATGGGCGGTGGGTTATCCTGGTAGTTAAAGTGTTCAGTTGTCGCCAGAAGACCAGGGTTTGATTCTCTACATGGGTACAATGTGTGCAGCCCATTTCTGGTGTCCCCCACCATGATATTGCTGGAATATTGCTAAAAGTGGCGTAAAACCAAACTCACTCACTCTCTTGTCACTAAATATGACCAGTTACGAACTTGTGATGACTCTCCACATTCTCACCATCTTTCCTGATATCATGCCTTCGAGTTGGTTGAAATCCATGTGTATGGCTGTGTTAAATTTATCCTAAGAAAGATTTAAGAGTACAACAAATCCTGGATATACAAGGTACAGCTGTTACCTATCAAGTAGCAAAATAATAAATCATTTCATGGAAATAATCTCGACACAAAAACTACACGTGCCTCGACATTTTATCTGAATTATTGTCATAAATTTTTTTGAAAGTGCTAATTTTCAGATGTCAAATTTTCAAAACCAACTTTACTGCATGCTTACTACAAACATGTACTGTGAGATTTTTCTAACTTACATTACCTTTCACCCCTGTGTTATACTTCAGTTGTTAATTCCAATCACATATTAGCAGAACATTAACTGGCATTCACTAAAATAACACTAAAATGCGTTCAAGCCCTGCATTCAATTGTGTTTCAAAATCATACATATTTCGAAATACGACATCCCGGCAGCTAAAATAGATATTGATATTATATTACCTCACTGACTACTTCCGTCTTCTCCATCTTGGCAGATGGTGAAGCCAGAGATATCCCTTACCCTCACCAAACATGAAAAAAATCTGAAAGATATCCTTGGTATTTCAAAGGGACTACAACCAATTACACTCAAAACATAACACCCATAGACCCATTGTTACATACGGATCCAAGGATGGAGGCAAAGTTACCAGTGCCACTCTCATTGGATCCAAGTCCATAACCATTTCCTCAAGAGTCCCAGACAATAGTTTGCGATCTTTCTACTAGCCAATATGACATTGTCTTTTACGGCAACCAAGTCACGTAGGTATAGCAGGTAACACAAAAAGCTGATGCTGCAGCTTATGGAACTATTGATAAACCGTTATTGCCACTGTGATTTCAAGCCAACAATCAACAGTTATACTCAGGATCTTATGAAAACGTTAACACCCTGGTAGTAATCAATAAACTGCATCAATGGGCAACAATCCTCAGTTATGGTATAACAACAGGAATGTTTTACATTTAAGCCAACAATCAGTGTCAGCTACTTGGGTTGTCATTCAAGACATGATGAGGTCATTTTCAGGGTGTTAGCGCTTTGAACATGCTTTGCTGCTAGGAGATTAGCGCATTATAAGACTTCTCATTATTATTATTTTGCCACAAAGTTGTTTTGGCCACAGTCTGTTTACTCGCGAATATCTGCCTGCAACAGATGAGGACAAGCCACCTAAGTGGATCCCTTATGATGAAAGGCTCACCGTCAACATTATCAAGTAGTAAACCTGAAAGATCTGTTTACCTGTCTGAGCTGGCATCTCATAATAAATTACTTCAAAGATATTGGTATGCATTATTAACTGTTAATATGTATGTTCATAACTACTTTGTTTTCTTTTAAATTTGGACTTACAGCCCGTGTTTTTATTGTGTTGTTATAGACCATGTTTTAAATTGTAAAAAATACTTTTGTACATGTGAGCAACTTTAAATTTTAAGTAAGGAATACTAGAAAATGCTTTGAGCACTCTCCATCATGAACAATATGGTATCGTGTGATAGCTTGAGTGAGTAAGTAAGGCTTTCCACCACCATATCAATGTTCCAGCAACATTACGATGGAAGACACCAGAAACACTTCTAGACAGCCGAACCTCCCTCACTGAGCTTACATAGGGTTCTGGTTGCTCACGCATGAAAAATAAAACAATCTACGTACAATCCCTTTCTGAGAAACATGCTCAATTATTTCTCACAACTCATTCAGTGCTGTTGTCGTATATATAGCCCAAGACGGTCTAGATTTACAGCTAGCCAGCCCGATGGTCTGATAAAAATGTTAGATGTTCCATACATCTGAGTAAATTCACCATATTTAGTCTGGTTAAATCCATTTTTGGCTGGTAACATTTTGAAGTAGCCAGCCCTGATGTCTGGCAGGATTTTGGCCATATTTCATACACTGTATATATAGCAGAAGTGCAGACACTTTGTTAAAATAATACTAAACATTCATTTTATTGGTTATGTTAAAAGCATTCAAGTACCACTCGTATGTCATGTTAACTTACAATATTCTCTATTCCTTGCCTGAAAACCTCAGTCAGCTGTAAGCCAGCTTCATGAAAAGTATCATACACGAGGTTACATTTCATTTTTTAATTTACCGACATAAAGTACCTGTCAAATAAAAGTCAATTTTACAACAATCAGAATTACACAGGACATGACATATACAAGGCGCGTTTCCCCAAACAACGAGTTAAATAAGTCTCATAAAACGACCATAGTCCTGTCGCTATCACCGTTTGTTTCTGTCAAGCCTCCAGCAAGTCTATATTTCTTTATTACCCATGGAGGGAGCATTTATTGTTGTGCGGCGTTTGGATGCGACATATCGCTGATTTGCCGGTCTTGGGGCACATGAATTTTCGTATGGAACTAAGAGGATTTATAAACCTTTGGAAAGTAGACGGAACTTTCAGTTTAACTGAAAACGCTCGTTTAAGCGATATCATACGAGTTAGTACATTGAACAATGGATCCCTCAATTAGGCAAGTGCACGCGAGACCTTGACCTTTATGAAACACGTCAGAATTTAAACAAATATGGCGGACTCAGGAAATTCGGAAGCGGGAAGCGGATTTTTATCCAAATTTTTGTCTGAATTGTTTGGAAGTCCGCTAAATCTGGCTTTAGTAGGCGTTTGCTCATTTCTTGTTTACAAAATATGGTCAAGCAGAAGGAAGCATGACCCACCTACGCCTCGGGAACCTGAACTTCCACCTCTGAAAAAGCAAGATTTCACACACGAGCAGTTGCGAGAATATGATGGAAAAGCAAAGGATGGACGTATCCTGATCGCTGTTAACTGCAAAGTGTTTGATGTCACGAGAGGAAAACGATTTTATGGCCCAGGTACAGTATAATATTATTACAAAATGTCATTGTTACCCTTCCTTTTCGCTGATATTGTTTCTTTTAACACTTGAAGATTATCCGATTGTTGTGCTTCCTATCACTATCAAGACGTACAAGAATTGTGGCGTAGAGAAAAGTTACGTCAGACCGTTATAGTGAGATATGTTACTTTTCAGATGGGGGATGTTATATTGTTTGTAACTGTTATGTTTATAAAGTTGATACATGAATGATACATCTTTCTGTACTTTCATGATAGTCTAGATCATAGTTTAACCCCCTGGATGCCACAGGGACATATATGTCCTTCCCCTTCAACCCTCAATTTCAAGTCCAATAAAAATCAAAATATCCCACGCACACAAATACACTTCACAGTTTGGAATTCTGCGGGAAATTTCCTGTTTCTTGATACCATCCAATATTATTTTAGACAAAGCTAAAGTGATGAAAATGACCTTTCAAAATAGGCTTCATCGAAAATGGCGACATTTTTGACACAGTACGAAATCGCGATTCACAGCGTTATTTGCTGTATGTTTTGAAATGTGAAAATCAGATAATTACTGTGAGTATTGAATTTAAAAAATAACATATTTATGATCACTGATATCAGTTTTACATGATTTCGCTAATTATAATTCTGAAACGTTGTCGATGAATCTAGAATCGGTTGGGATGTTTTCGAAAATGCACTTACACGAACACCGTGAAGCTTTCCGCCATATTGGATAGTGTTTACAAAATCACATTTCAAGCAAAGGCGGTATTGAGGCGCCTATTACATCAACGTATATTTCATATTCAGCGAAAAATGCATCACTGAATTCCCCATACATTTTAGAATCAATTTGAAACTGGTCTGTGTCACCAATAATAACTGTCTAGATAAAATGAGGCCGAAACATATTGGGTGTGAAAACGAACGCTGTGCTTGAAAGACTGCGTTTGTGTGAAATGTAAACAAATACAAATTCCGATTTTACACTGCGTAGCATTTTCTTAATTTTTTCAACATTCATCCGTCTATTCATCGCTTGCAATGGCTCAATACCTTTAGAATATACATGGAAAGAGTATCGTAGTAAGAAATAGGAAATTATAAATAGATACAATGTAATGATTTGATAATTCATAAGAAATTGTCAAAGTTTCGTGCAGCAATAACGCCATGACTGACGCCAAATCAATGCAGAGCGACAAGCGGTAATTATCTGCATTTCTGTCCTTTTCTCTACGTATAGTGAAAGCGATAAAAACATATAACAATACACAGATAGTCAGAATCATTCTGATTACTTACATCTCATATTTATGTACAAAGCGATCCCTGAATCAGTGGAAGGGTCCTCGCAAAAATCCTGTGTACCCTTGTCAGCAAAGCCGCCATTTTGTAAGAAATCGGTCATCGGTAGTGATGTCATACGTCAACATTGTTCTACATATTAGGCAATTTCTTTGAGGTGAAGGTCGGTTGAACAAGAGTCAACACAATCGCCATATCCTTCCGATTACACTGTCAGTATTATGATGTGTATTTTGCGGATAGTTCAGATACTTGTTCATGAAACTGACTTCAGTATCTACATTTAGCCTTGTTCAATATCATATCATACGTGCATATAGGGTTTACGGTGTTTTATTCTTTGAAAGTTTTTGATTGTTTGAATCATATTTACATAAGAAATTGACATATTTATTGCAATACACCATATTCTAAACCTTTACACAAGTGTTAGAAGATCAAACGTAGCCATAACTGCAACTACTTTAGTTCCTATGATGTACAATATTCAATCTATTTGGACTTATATTGCAATTTCATATGAACAGGTTAATGAACGGTGATATAATTCAACCTTATATGCAAAACTGATAATATTAATGACAATGATTTATATATGGTATGAAATGTATATGCACACATATTTAAAGGAATTGTCTTGTTCATTGCATAATTTTGTGTCGTTTTATAGACAAAAGAATGATGCATATAGATCGGACAAGGTCTTGGCGTTTGTTGGAAGCGTTTTATGATTCTCTATCATTGTTTTCGATAATATATTCAATTCATATTCGATTAAATAATATTGTGATGACAGGATGTCAAACTCTAAATACTTATAGGAAAATTGTTGAAAAATATATATACCATCTCATGTGTTAATTCGGACAAATCTTATATCCATATTCTAATATATAGTTCCATACATAAAAAGCTATCTTTTTGCATCTTTCATTGCATACGTATGAAGAGAAATAGCTTCATAATCATAAACAAACAAAATTCTTATCCCAAACAAAATATTCGGGTGTTGTGAAATATTATTTTTATTTACGTTGAATTGATGCCAAACAGGTAGCGTGTTGTTCACAATAAGATCGCAGCTGTCAAACCGTCTAATTGTTGATATATTCAGGACACTATGTAAATGGAAAAATCAGTCATTTTATGTTTTGTCTAAAGAGTGTTAAATTCTGACATAGAAGTCTAGACGTTTTATACAATTAATGGAAATTAAGTGAGATATATACTAATCAGCATACCAATGTCGTCTTTTTCCGACCTCGCCAAAATGCATAAAACAAGCAATGGCGTCAACTAAAATATTATATCATTTTCAGCAATTTCGTTACATTTGAAGATATGGCTAGTACTCTGGTAATAACGATGCAAAATTAGTCAAATTACATCTACACAAACAGGAGAATATGGGAATCTAAGAACTAACTTTATATATCGGATAGGGCCATTCAAATGCGCTAATACGTGCTTTCACATGTAATACGTTGTCATCTTTTCTTATAAATTGTGAAACTACCAAAGCATCCGTTCACATTGGGGAACTTTGAATTGGAATAGTGTGGTTCACCATGAATATAAAATAACGAAAATATAGCGTCCATTATCCACAACAAATTCTCTCCAAGTGATCTGAGTTACATTGACCTAGCGTTACGCATAGCGGAGTTATGCCCCTTATCATATATCGTGTATGACCTCTCTGTTGTCGTTTGACGTCATAGAAGAAAATACATTTTGACATTTATTGCGAGTCATTTTAATGTTGAGGGTATAGCGTTGTGCACAAGCACATAAACCCAATTCATATACACTTATGTCGTTCAGATATCAGGCTGTATTTTCTTCAAGCTCACACTTTCCGTAAAGATGCCCCATTAAAAAAATTAAGTAGCACAGTGCTTTTATCGTTCTTGATAAAAGCGGAGAAATTTACTGTTTTTTAACGAATAACAAAAATTTGGACAACATTTAGCAAGGTCTATTTCTCAAACCGCCAAGGTAGTTGCACTTATATTTATACCAACGGATAGGAAATTTAATATTCTACATTTCTGTGTAATTTTATAGCCTTACGTAGATCCAGCACCACGCGAGAGCAATTCTCGCACAACGTTCACTTTTCAAAGCGTATGAAAATGTGCGCCTGAAAAAAAACTCGGCATCAAGGGGGTTAAAAAACCCAAACATTCTAAACTAAATGATAAATAAGGTCAGTTCATGTTAGATATTTTTTATTATTTGGATAAGCAAATATTTTCTTACGCAGAATAACTGTATGAGCATACTTCCAAGAACCCAATGTAAACAATGTGTATGGGAAATCTGTTAATTACGTGTCAGAAAATGAGATTTGGTGAAGACCAGATTCATGGAATTTGGCCCTTTGTCTCCGTTGTTATCTTTATTGACCAAGTGAACTGCAAGGTTAATTAAATAACACTTGATTCGATTTAACAAACTGAATTTTAAACCGTTAGACTCAGTAATGCATTACAATGTATTCAATGGGCTTTGACCCTTCTCCATGAGTTTATTTCTTTGCACTCCCACGTTTTGCCATCCTTAACAACTTTTTTTGGGGTATAAAATCAAATTGATATTTAGATACATCCAATTACTGCATGGTGAGGGAAACATCTGAAGAATTGAATTATCATGTGTACAGACTGATATCATATTTTTAACCTCCTCTAAATAACACATTTTGATACTGTTTCATGTGCAACGAAGATGAACTGACAAAGGAAGGCATTCTTCCTAGCAAATGTCATAAGCCTTGTTCATTTTGTTCCAGGACAAGTTTTAATAAACAGGATGAATGATTTTTCCTCATCACTGTGCATAAGTGTTCATGTTAGTCATCAGTGTCTTGTGTGTTAGCTGTAACCCTGGTAATCCATCTTCAATGAAAAGCTTTTTCTTGTTCTGTCAAGGATTTATAACCATGATGATAGATTACACCTAACCGAAATTCCCAAACAGTAAATTTTCTGCAAACATGACACATAAACACTACCACAGAGGCCTTGTTGCTTGAAGCAACCTCGTTCTTAGCAATACCACTGGGAATACAGGGAATGTTCCTGATTAAGCACAATGGGCAAATGGCTTGTAGATGTAAGATACCTAGATAGAAATTCTGTAGTGACTACAAGCAAACATCAAGGACCAGCCTTAATTTTGAACACTATCGTGTAGCACTTAACTATGCCGTTACCATATTTTATTGAAATATTGCACATGACAACTGTTGATAGATCAGGTAGTTGCAGCTGTAAGCAGATTTATTGCTCACCTATTTAAGCAGATGCTATGGCAAATAGTACATACATATTGATTGTTGGTGAACCATTTATTGATGGGAGTAGGGTTTTACATGATGCACAATTCCTGTGTGTTTGATTCATACTCAAAATAATTTCATACAATGCAATATTTTAAGTGTACCCTGAATCCAACTTCCTCTACTAAATACAATAACAATTGTATTACTTACAAAATAGACTGTCAAAGTCCTTGTTTCATTTAGAATTTTTAATGGTTTTTATATTGTATTGACAGAATATTCACAAATTTGAAAATGACTCCCAAAAATATTTGCTGAGTCACCATGACTCTCGTTTTTCAAAGTGTATGTCACACACTGTGGAGTCATTGGTTTATACTGATATCTTTATGGCTGTACCTCTTTTAACTGGTGTTGGGAATTGGTTAAAATCTCACAATTGATGATTGATTCATTGCAACTGATCAATCATCGAAAATAATTGGTTAGCGTCATTTATCAATTTTTCCTGGTTTTGTTTGTTAATGCACAAGAAATAAAGAAAAAAAACGTGTTCTTTGGATTTTTTTGCAAACTGCACAAAATACATTTGCAAATTTCAAATCTTTAAATGATGACTAGTATGTTAGGAACATAAATTTCCTGGAGTCTTTAAGATAAATTCTATCATGACTTGGAATGTGCTTGTAGTGCTTATGAAATGTAACAGACAAAGCCAACCTTGTGAAATATATTGTCAATGCAAACAAGTATTCGAAAATTGTTTGTGTTCGATAATGAGAAAACATGATGGAACTGCTTGGTCGTTTAGGCACTGCGACCAATCTTCGATTATTAGAATTAATCGAACCACCACTACTTTTAACCAGGTGTTATTTTGTTTGACCAGTTTCACTTTCGCAGCTAGTATACTATCTTGGCCATGTTGAACTGTAATGAGACTCAAGGTAGTGTTGAACAGCAATGAACCTGTGACGATCTGGGCTCCGTTCCACTAACCGATCTTAACTAAGATCAATCTTAGCAAGTTACGCCAATTTTACAATCGTCTTAGCTAAATGTTACACCCGTTCCACTAACAGATCTTAGGCCGATCGTAGCCGGTCCAGATCTTACGATCCGATCCAAGCTTTTTATCGAGACTCTTTCGTGCGAGAGATAGAGGAATGCGAGGCACGAGTTATTTGCCTTTGCATAGTCTAGCAAATGATGGAAGTAGTTTACGAACCAACTGAGTAAGTGAGTGAGTTTAGATTTACGCCGCACTCAGCAATAGTCAAGCTATATCGCGGCGGTCTGTAAATAATCTAGCTAATTAAGATGCATAGCGTTCACTAACATGAGCGTTCATGTTAGTGAACGCTATGTATCTTAGCTATAAATAATCGAGTCTGGACCAAACAATCCAGTGATCAACAGCATGAGGATCGATCTGCGCAGTTGGGAACCGATGACATATGTCAATCAAGTCAGCAAGCCTGACCACCCGATCCCGTTAGTTGCCTCTTACGACAAGCATGGGTTATTGAAGTTCAATATTCTAATCCGGGCCTTCATGGGTATTTTTCTCAACCAAGTGTAAGCATGGAGAAAAACCTAGAGCAAAATATTAGGGTAGTGAGCACCTTGGTTTCAGGTGCAAGTGTGTGTGAACGCTGGGTATCGGGCATAATATAATAATAATAATAAATGCATATTTATAGTGCGCCTATTCCACATCCTGGGGCATGCTCAAAACGCTATGTGCAGATAATTTACTCGAGAGTATTTACAGCCGAGATTATAAGTAATATACTGAGAACAGGTTTTAAGTCTGGACTTAAAAATGTCTATTGTGTCAGAGCCTTTATTATGTGCCTTAACCTTGTCAATCAGAATAAACAAGGCGTGATGAGGCATCCTCTATAACGTATCTAGAATATGTCAGTGGTCTTGAATAACAAGCGGCCTGCCTTTAGAATCCCCCACCAAATAAGCGCACCTGAAATCAAACATATTTGTATCTTTTTGTTTCAGAACATTGTTCACTTCATGACCCATCCCTATTCTTAACCATGACATGACCACAGACTCGCTCGGTTGTGTTCCCATGACGACATGTGGTCAGACTGGCCTGACATTTGTAAGGCTTCAGTGCAGTGTTTGTTTACATCACAGAAATATACAAATTCATTTCATGGGGGATTTTAGGGGACGCTCATGGTGAAATGGTTGCTCTTATTTTTCACATAGAATAGGAAAGCCAGCATTTTGGTTTCTCTACGATTGATTTTAGCTATCCTAAGTTGGTCATGAGCAACTTAGACTTTGAATCTTAACTTAACGATTGACTTGGGTAAGATTGGTTAGTGGAACGTTATGCCGATCGTAACGTCACGCTAAGATTGGGATTTTAGGGGTTTACGATTGGCATAGGGCTAAGATCGGTAGTGGAACGGCACCCTGGTCTTCAACTTGCGTAAGACGTGACTAAAGGAATTGGGTAGTCAGGGTCGTTGTCAGCATTATAGCATGTTACCGTATTCTATAAAGAGCTGTTATTTTCAGGTGGTCCATACGGCATCTTTGCGGGCGCGATGCATCTCGGGCCCTGGCCACGTTCTCTCTAGGAGAGGAGGCACTGAGGGATGACTACGATGATCTCAGTGATCTCAACAGCATGCAGATGGACTCAGTTCGTGAATGGGAAATGCAGTTTACAGGTACAGGGATAACAATGCGATAGCAATTATTATTTAGCAATTTCTATAACCTGTTATAACCCTGAGCTGTCAGAGCTTCATTTAAGCATTTAGGACTTTAGAAAAATGCAGTCCTCATATTTACACCAACTTGCACCCAGTGTGTGTTAATATTTTGATGTTAAAGAACACAGATTTCAGCAGGAAAAAGAATGATGAGAAACCAGCTTGGAGCATTGACTCTGATGACTACACAGACAGTGACTGAATGAATGTTACTGTTCATGTCATGAAGTCTTTTAAAGTAACAAAGCATGATCCCATCTGACACAGAATAATTTTGTTATGATGACAACCAACCGTCAGTACCCAAACTCAAGAATTATGTGTAATTTGACATTGAGACGCAGTTGAAACCTGTTTTTGTCTGGTGCAACAAGGTTATTACCTAAAGTTTCATGAGTAACAAGTAAGTTTCATTTTCTTTAATCAAGCCCTACTTATTAAAATGGACTCCGTCCGTGCGTGCGTCCGTCCGTCCGTGCACATTTGTCTTTTCCGGAGCTCTAAAACCGTTTAATATTTCTTCACCAAACTTGGCACATACATGGATCTGGTGGCGTACTGGTGCCTTTTGGTAGTTTTGGAATTCTGAATTAAATATCTTTGGCGTTTCCATGGCAACAAGTTCGACTCTGACTGAAATTGGTGGTAGTGCTCTTTTCCGGAGCAGAACTCTAAAACCGTTCAATGTTTCTTCACCAAACTTGGCATATACATAGATCTGGTGGTCTACTGGTGCCTTTTGGTTGTTTTGGAATTCTGAATAAAATATATTTTTCCTTATCCTGACTCATGCTTATTTGCTTGTCTTCTTCTTGCGAACTTAGTGGAACACTTGTATCTCCTTATTGAAGCTCCCTTCAATAAAACGTGTGTAAAATCACTAATCACTACTCACCAAGAGTTGTCCCTCCTTCCGTTTACGCGGGAAACTGGCGCCACTGTTTCCCACATGCTTCACTCTCTCTTTCGCCCAGTGAGCAGGTTGTGAGAGCGCCTGTGTCTCCTCACAGCACTATATCCTTTGATTATTTAGTTAGTTACCTCTATTAATTCCTTATAGAGGTTTAGCTAGTATCCTTCATCAATATGGTTTGATATTTATTCGTATTTCTCACTGTTTATTCGCGGGTTATTCCGTGATTGTTCAGTAGTCTACGTTCATGAAAATCTGTTCCAGGAGCTCCATTAATAGACCTATTCGCCACACGCTTCAACAATCAGCTAACAACATTCGTCTCTCCAGTCCCAGATCCATGAGCGTGGGCAACGGACGCTCTCAGCATATCCTGGGAAGGCCTAAACGCGTACGCGTTTCCTCCGTCAGCGCTACTACCGAGGGTATTACAGAAAATCAGTCAGACAAAGAACCTCCAACTGATTTTGGTCGCGCCTTACTGGCCAGCGAGAACGTGGTTTCCCATTCTCATTAAAGAACTCGGACCACCAAATCTGCAACTACCAAAGCGATCGAATCTACTAGTACATCCTCACACAAAACAAGCGCACAGATACCCAGAGGCATTCCAACTTCACGTGTGGACTGTATTAAGGCATGCTTAAACAAGAGAGGTTACTCAGCCAGAGCGACGAAAGCAGTCACGCTTGCTTTACGCAATTCGACACGCAACTTGTACTACGACGACAAGTGGCGCAGTTTTGAGACCTTCGCTGCTAAAAAAGGATTTACAGCTAGAAATGCTACACATCCTCAAGTGGCAGACTATCTTTGTCACCTACGACAAACCAAACGTCTGAAAGGGTCTACACTCTCAACATACCTAGCGGCATTGAGTTCAGTGATAACCATGAGGACGGGTCCAAAATTAACCAAGGTACCAGAGTTACTGGCCTTGTTACGCTCTTATAAATTGGAGGATCAGAAACAGAGATTTCACGCTCCGGCATGGGACCTCAACATTGTTCTCAAACATCTCACTAGTGTTGTTTATGAACCACTGGAAACGACATCAATTGAATTTCTGACACAGAAAACACTGTTCCTGTTAGCCCTAGCAACAGCAGCCAGGATGTCGGAAATTCATGTGCTAGATTACGAGAGAACAAGATTTGATGAAAATCAAAACATAGTGCACATGGGACTAGGATGGGATTTCATCGCCAAGAATCAACTACCAGGTCAACCGGACAGACAATTCCACGTCCCTGCACTATCCTCCATAATCGGACCACAAGATACGCTTGACCTATCTTTGTGTCCAGTGAGAGCACTAAGAATTTATCTACGACGATCCAGATTGATGAGACGAAAATTCAAACGACTGTTCGTCCCGATGTCAACAGCGACACAGACGGAAGTCTCCCGTACTACAATATCAATCTGGATAAGAACTGTCATACTACGAGCCTACAAGGCTGCAGGACTCGATCCTCCAAGAGCCTCTAACCCTCACGAAATTAGAGCACTGGCATCAACACTCGCTCTACATGGGAATTGCTCGCTGAATACGATCATGGAGGGCTGTTTCTGGAAATCGGACATGGTGTTTGCTAACCACTACCTGAGAGATATCGCCACCGAGGACGTCTCAGGCATTCACCATTTCGGCCCTCTGGTTGTCGCACAGCAGTTGACAGTTCCCCACAGAAAGTGAGACGTTGTCTCGCCGTGTTTCTCATGACTGATCAAGCCTACACTCTATAGAGTTTTGCTTCAGTATCTATGCACGTTTCAGGACTAGCGTAAGTGTTAAACCCAGTACTTGCAGTTACTAGTTACTATGAGTCGCTTCTCTACTTTGGAGTCGCTCAATCCACTTTTAAATGTTAACCAAAATAGGACCAAAGTTAACTGTTGTGTTCCCCCCATTAATTGGCAGCTTAAAGAACTCTTTTGTGGACAGCAGCAGAAATTAGCATAATTACAGTGCCATTATGAAGTTCCCGTAGGGGGGTTTATTTTGACGTAAAATTCACTAAGAAATCCTAAGTGCCTTTTTCCCACCTCCTTGTTCCGTCGGATTCTACAAGCAAATAAGCATGAGTCAGGATAAGGAAAAATATGTAATTTTCTGAATAAAATTGATATTTTATACTTATCCTGACTCATGAGGTAAGCCCTCCCAACCTCCCCACAAGACACTTTGGATTTCCCTGTAAATTCAAGTGTCGGGCTCGTATTCAGGAGAGAGTAAAGCATGTGGGAAACAGTGGCGCCAGTTTCCCGCGTAAACGGAAGGAGGGACAACTCTTGGTGAGTAGTGATTAGTGATTTTACACACGTTTTATTGAAGGGAGCTTCAATAAGGAGATACAAGTGTTCCACTAAGTTCGCAAGAAGAAGAAGACAAGCAAATAAGCATGAGTCAGGATAAGTATAAAATATCAATTTTATTCAGAAAATTACATTTTTGGCGTTTCCATGGCAACAAGTTTGACTTAGACTGAAATTGGTGGTTGTGCTCTTTTCCGGAGCAGAACTCTAAAACCATTAAATATTTCTTCACCAAACTTGGCATATAGATAGATCTGGTGGTGTACTGGTGCCTTTTGGTAGTTTTGGAATTCTGAATAAAATATTTTTGTCATTTCCATGGCAACAAGTTTGACTAAAACTGATATTAGTTGTAGTGCTCTTTTCCGGAGCAGAACTCTGAAACCGTTCAATGTTTCTTCACCAAACTTGGCACATAGATAGATCTGGTGGTGTACTGGTGCCTTTTGGTAGTTTTGGATTTCTGAATAAAATATTTTTTGCATTTCCATGGCAACAAGTTTGACTTAGACTGAAATTGGGGATAGTGTTCCTTTCTGGAGCAGAACTTTCAAAACCTTTCAATACTCTCCTTTCCACTTTTCTATATACACACCTAAATATTTGACATAATCATAACTCGTAGGCATAATCATGAAGAGTATTTTGCCATTGTGGGGGATATTGATGACTTTGTCTTCTTGTTTATTATTGTTTGAAAACACCATGGTTGTGTTGAAAAGAGAGATATGATATATCCAAAAATAATGTAAATCATTTTTCAATTTAATTGAAATATTTTATTAGCTCAGACCAGTTCAATCCTACTATTCTCAGAAAAAATTATCTTCAGTGATTTATTGTCAATTTCTGTAATTTTACCTTGGTAAAGCAATGTGACAATATGTTGATGTCATTGTGAATCATGGATTTTTCTTGAGTTGCTCAGAGGCCAATAGTCCGCACTAAGTCTGAAGCCTGAAGCAAATGTCAGGAAAAATTCACAAATTGAAGCTTAATTTCCCGTTTAATGTTAATCTAATTATAATGAGTTATAGTGGGACATGCTTGGTTGACATGACACCAGTTTCACTTGCATCATGACCGATAAATAGATATTTCTGGAATTTAATATAATTGCATCATTTGCAATGTCAAAATATCTCAAATATCTCAAATGAAAGTTCTGTGTGGCTGTTTCCTAATACACTGAAATTCTGGACCAAACAAACTGAAAAACCTTTGCATCAGCGCCCAAAGTACAGTCCAAAATTTAACGTGTGGGGTGGCATATCTGTGTTATGGGCAACGCCCCTCTGTGTATTTGAAGGGAATATGAACCTGAGCAGTACACAGATATTCGCGAGTGACATTTACTTCCATCTGCTCACATGTTCTATGGAATTTTTTTGATATTCCAGCAGGACAACAACCCAAAACATTGTTCAAAGCATTCACAGGCCAAAATATGACATTATTAGATTGGCCAAGCTATAGCCCTGACCTAAATCCAATAGAAAATGTTTGGGGACTTATGAAGGAAAGTGTCAATAAGAAAAATCTGACAAATATTTCTGTATATATGAATATATATGAAGCATAGCCATTATTCCTAATGTGGAGTTCACTATTTTTGGCATGCCTTATCATGCTTGTTCAGCATTGAGATCAAGCACTCAGCTTAAGGCGTCCCCAAAGTGTTTACCATGTAAGACCTGCATCACTTCAGGCTTGCCCTGATGAA